CCACGCCGCTCCGCAACACGATAAAGCAGCGAAATAGAATGGGAAGGAAACGATCTTTGCAGAAACTGCGTCAAAGATCTCAATTCTTTTAATCTATTAACATTTATTAAAGCAGAACGTTTCTTTGCAAGTTTTTTGGGGGTGAGGGGTAGAATTTACCAATAAGTCCTTATGAAATTAGGGCAGATTTGTGTACCCGGATATTTATTTTTACATTCAATCTTCACATATTTAGCGCACGGCAATATATAACTTCGAATCTCAGAGAACCGGGTATCTATCCAAAATAAACTCAGACAAACTCCGAAATTTTCTAGCAAAAAAAAAAAAAAAAGAAAAAAAAAGAACTCCGAATACTTTATAAATTGCAGGAAAAATAAGCTCGTAGAACACGGAACCCTGGTTTTACATAACGTTGGTCAAGCGAACCACTTGCTTGCAATGAAGTACGCAGCAAAATACGCCCTGCCAGCCTTTTATGTCCCAATGTTCACGAATGATTTGAAAAGAATATGGGAACAAAGAGAAGAGCTACACAGCGAACATTGCACTGAACCGGGGCATATATTTCAGTTTAAAATAAACGTCTTTTTTTATAAATAAACTCCTTAACAAAAAAGTGACCGCAATGCGGCGGTATTGACTTTTTTTTTTTTTAAATTATGTAACGCGCCTTTAAACACGACAGAGGGAGCTTACCTAGACTCGAAGTGTCGCGACCACATCTCAATTTTCTTGGCGTTGTTCACAAATGCTCCTTTTTTTTTTTTTTTAAGACAAACTTCTAAAGTGCGCAATCGCACTGCAATTTTCACCAACGGAGGTCAACTTCAGGAGTATTGCGTCATAAATTTTCATACAAAACCTCTTTTCGACATTTACAATTGATGTCTCAGACAATTCTTGTGGCTAATCCAAGTAAGGTCGAGTGCCGTGGACCCTATAAAAGAAATTTTAAAAAAATCTCTGCGACGGGGAAAATATCTAATAAACAAAACACGCGTGAAAAGAACACGGCTTTTGAATTTCAAGTAAAAATAGCCAAATGCTATGTGCGGAGTGCATTATCCGCTATTCCTCTTCCCTTTTTTGCAGCATTTCTTCCTCTCCACTGAGCCGATTTTTATGTTCCTCGTGCGTCATTCCTAATATAAACTCAAGGTTTTTTTTTTATTTTTCTTATATGATCGGCGGGTTGTGTCACGAGAGTTGGTGTTGCAATTTATCGCAATCATACTGTCAGGCAGAAACGATTTATCGTGTCTCCGGGCACTCGAATACGCGCCTGCGGTTGAAATATGGCTCTACGTAAAATGTCAAATAGAATGAGCTAGAAAAAATAACAAAAAACGCGCGCTTTAAATAAAAGAAAAAAAAAAGGCTTTCGAAATATTGGTTTGAGCTGGTCGAGCATCAATATAAAAGTTGCTCTACCTCAATAAAAGAAAATACAACAAAGAAGAAAAATCAGAAGGCAAAGTTGCTGACAATTGTATGTGTATGTCAACGGCGTTACGCCGATTCGTGTTTTAAAAATGCCGATCCCATACAAAAATGTCCCACGGTCGGCTACAGAAAATTTTTTGTATGGTCGGCTTTAGCCGTTTGGCCCAATTAGCTAAAGAATGTTGTATGGCTGTCTTTAGCATTTTTATGGTCGTCTTTATAGGCCTCTTTAGCTTTGTCTATGGCCCTATCACTGTCCAGCCATAGTACTCTTTAGCTTTTCTAATGGCTGGCTCCCTATAGATGTTTCTATCGCTTATCACTTGGGCGAAAAATGCTGAGTCACTGAGCTGGGAGCGCATGCGCAGCGTTTGATTGATATACCGCACAGCAGTGCAACAGCGCGTGTTCAAAAGGTGTCTGCTGTTCCCAGCAGACAAACATGGCAGCGCGCAGAAAGCGATTGTTTGCAGATGTCTATAGCCAGTATGCTATACCTGCCTATGGCTTTTCTTTTGATGTCTTTCGCCATTTATATTGTCTGCTAAACAAGGTTGTATGGGTTTTCCTATGTTGCATTTAATTGCATTATAATCTTTCTATGTCTCTCTTTAGCCAGCACACTCTAAAAGAATGTTTTTCAAGTTCCGCCGACTTTAGAACGTTCATGGTACATACATATACATCACTGATCACATAGAACACAAGTAGAACACTCCCCCACACAACAGCAAGAACGCAGCGACACTGGGACCCCTACACCTCTCTACGCACGCTAAGTTCGCACTATCTCTATATATGGCAGTCTTATTTTTGAATCCGACTTGGCCGGTGACTACCGTCATTTATCGCATAAACACGGGGAGGCGGAGAAAATATTACTCGTACTTAATACATTATTTGATTCCTCTCTTGGAGTAGCCTCCATCTCTTAATTTAGTACCCTGAAAAAAAGCAAATGTAGATCATTACGCTAATTAACTAAAATTTAATAATTATATTTTAATAAGTTTGATTAATCAGGTTGACAATGGGGTGATGAAATGCAGTACATTGGCGCTGAAGAGTGCAATCAAGCTATTGCTTGATTGCAGTGTTCGGTGCCAGTGTAATATATTTTCCCCATGGGAGGGGGGTGATAATTAATTTTGATTGTTGCACACGGATTTCAATTGATTTTTCAAACAAACAATATTACTGGTTTTCACGACTCGTTGCAACAGCAGAGAACATATCTTGGGTCATGCTTTGCCACCTCTACTACAGAAATTTAGTATTGCTTTAATTTTCCAACCTGGAGCGTTTTTGCTATAAAAAATAAGTGCAGAGTTGTGGTTTTCTTTGGGCGTGTAAAGAAAATTGGATAATTCCTAGTCTTTAAACTTGGGGCCATAAAGTTTTATATAGATGGGTAAAGACTTGGGGCCATAGAATTTTCTAGAGGCGGGTAAAGAAAACTTATAGGTTCCCAGTATTTAGACACAGGGCCACAGATTTTTTTATAGCTGGCTGTAGCTCTATTTATGGATTTCAATAGGCGACCATAGAGGGCCTTAGCGGGTGATAGCCCGCCATATAATTTTCCGTAGACGACCATAGACCATATTTGTGTGGGATATATTACTTTAAAAGACTTCCAATAAAAGGATTTAAAATATTGGGAGCCGAAATGAGTAAGATAAACTAAATTAAACGACTTTTGCCATAAAGTCCCGCTTCCAAATGTGACAGCAGGATGTAACAAACGGTCTTCCGAATGTTCATGACTTTTTTATTTTTCCTTGGAGGTTCTAAACACCACACTGTGCGCCTCGAAATAAATCGGAGCATTCTCTACGTTTCCCACGCAACGCGCTATAAATTATATTAAGTCAAACACGCAGCGCGAAAAGTTCATGACCATGTGGTGTTTGTAGAATTTATAGTTTTGGTTGGTTTGTAATCACGGTCTAATTAAATCAAACTAAAAAAAAAAAAAAAAAACTCAGTTTTTTTTTTTTTACCTTTGTGAAGAAAGAAGTTCAGCTTAGCTGTACTTATGGCCGCCATCTACGAGCGACGGTGGCAACTTACCGGTTGTCTGGTTGCCGCAGTCACTCACAGATGGCGGTAACTCTCCAGAGTTCTGTGTCATCAGGACATTTGAGGACGGACATGATCCTACGGAAATTATCCCTTAACAGCTTCGCTGTAAAAGAAAGCTCAGGACGGCGGCGCACTGAGTGTGCGTGATTGTTTTAAGCGGCGTTACCAAACGCACAAAGGCGATGAACGCCGCTACATTAAACTTCTAGCGCTGCTTCAGTGGCTCCATTTTTTCGTATAGCATCGGCTGCGTTTAGAGTTGAGCCTCGTTCACACTGGCGGTTGAACTGCATCCGCGAAGAGGTTGCAAACGCTGTTTACTTAAGGATTCAGTGCGCTTTTACGCGCCTTCGATGATGAAAACGAGCGGATCCGCTTTGCGGTTCCGATTCGAACGCCAATGTGAACGCAGAATTAGTGTAAAACGGAATTATCTGACTGTTCGGCGATTCTTTTCTTTCTTTCTTTTTGTTTATTTATTTACCCAGCGGATGATTGGTCACCCATTATTTGCGGTAATAAGCTTGCATTGAAACCTATCGTAAACTGGTAAAAAAAAATAATTCAAGCAATTGCATATAAAAATGGGAGAAGTTACACAATTAAAAAGGATTTTCTATATTCAAATTTCAAATTCAAATTCAAATTCAAATTCTTTATTTGACATTCCTTGTCGAACAAAAAATGCCAGGGCAGGAACAAAAAGCTACAATACAGCAGCCTGACGGGGTTCCTGCCCTTACCTTGGCATAAGAAACAACCAAACCGACAGTTTAAAATTGACTAGACATATACACAGAAATTCAAACCATGAAAAATATACATGTAATCAATTTACATCAAATATAAACTAATACTGACATCGTGCACATTAAAACATGTATTCCGACAGTTCATACTATACAGGAAAAATATAAAGCAAATACAACAAAATTTTTGCACAATTATTCACTGTGTGAAAAAGTGTTTTTTCAATGTTTTTTTTACAAATGGTGTGTATATCAAGGTTCCTTTTCTCTAAAGAGTTTAGACAACTAGGCATGCGGTGTTGCAGCCTGTCTAACCCATGATGAGTACGGGAAAAGGGTACCAGCCAGGAATCCTTTTTTCTAATATTATACGATGCATCATGAGGCCATTTAAGGTTACACAACTTGATAAAAGTGGATAAAAGTGGACGACAACCGCTAATTTTCGGGCCCACTTCCTCGGCTACGTTTCACCAAAAGCTTGTTTTCGATTATTTTGCTCTTGGAAATCGGCTTTTCTAAGGAATGTTGTTTTTGGTCTTAAACCGGCTTATTTATTGTCAATTGGAATTACATCCGCAATGCTAGCGCTGGCACAAACTGAGGCACTTCATTTGTTTCCCTTAACATGCCTCACCTCGGTTATATAGTATAAAACTTCGTAATAAACCGGCAGCATTCACTAGTTCTTATACTGCCTCGTTAATCAATGTTACGCAGTGCCTCCGTATTGGCGAAAACAGCCTATGGACAAGGCCGGCATCCTGGGAGAAAGCGTCCTGATCGACTGCCAAGCGGACGGCGTCCCCCACCCCCAGATTCGCTGGAAGAAGATGATTCGTGAGTATCGCCCATTTTGCACAGAACCTGCGAGGGCCCTCGAACCTATCAGAACGGCACGGTGAGGTTAATCGCCGTGGCAAGCTTTCTCGCTATACCACAGTCCTCTTTGTCTGCTCTATGCTGCATATGACGTTGGCTTGCCTGCGTCCTCTTTTTAGTTTACACGTCGAGGACTATAGACGATGCAGGGCGTCACCACTTAGATGGTTATATCGAGCGCTATTGGAGTGCCAAAAAAAAAAAGTCGTATAAATAAACCAATGAACGGGGAAGTGTATTCCTCAGTTTGTTAATTTATTTATGCAAATTTATTAAAACGTTTAATGTATACCTTAATTTTTTTAGGTCTGTACGAAAAAAGACACCTTTCCGTTTGTGCTTTATATCGTATCCTCTTTGAGTAGCGGGGTCAACGAGAAGGATTTTGCAGTTTTTCTTATGGTGCATAAAAAAAATGGATTTATTTTTGGCTTCAAATTGTTTCGTAAAAGCTATACCATGGGCGTACCAACCGGGGGGGGGGGGGGGGCGCTCGTCCCCCCCCCCCCACTTTTCAGAGGGGGGGGGGGGCGGGCAAGGCACGTGTTTTGTTCCCCTCCCCCCCTCCTCCCAAAACAGCCGCTCCACTGGGCAGGGCAAACACTGGCCGGCGGCGCCCAAGAAATACCAAGGGCACCGCCCGGCCCCGGGGGAGGGGGGTGTCTGGTTTGCCCCCCCCCCCCCCCCTTCAAAAACAAGTTGGTAGGCCACTGAGTTATATTATAAAATTTGAGTATAATCAATATTCCACTTAATACACCCTTGTGAGAAGTTTCAATTCCCCCTGTGCGTTGGTTTTTTACGCGATTTTTTCAAAGACAAAATACCGCTCTCTTAAGAGAGAAACGTCGTCGACTGAGTAATGGGGCAGGTCAGACATTGAACGAAGGTGCCACGGCAACGCTTGGCTGGGGCTTGTGTTCCGGCTGGCTGAACGTGAGTGCCACCGGCCCGCTGGCGTAGCACTTGTCTCCAATATGTTCCACGCGCTGGCCTTCACTAGGCGCGGTATAAGATTCATTCCTGCAGCTTTATATCTAGAGTTCCTTTGTACAAAGACCTCATTCTTGCGTGGCGTCTGGATGAATGTACGACACACTGACCGAACTTTAGCGATGCCTCATTGTTTCTTGAGACTTGGCTGTTTTTTCACTGCACATGGGACATCGTGTTATTCCGGCAAAGGTTTCGTCAACCAGTTACTTCACAGTCACTTAAAAAAATAAAGCCGCAGATTTTAATATTCAGAACATGATATTAGTGGATGCACTATGAGTATTTAGGAACCGATTTCTTTGTTACTTAACAAATTAGTGTTTGGGTGTTCTGTATTTCTCCCTTTTCTCTTTTTTGTTTCTCTTTACCAAGTTTGATAATTCTTAACTTGAATTTTATTCAAGTTAATATTATAACATACCCGGGATGGTGCTGAGCGCCAATTTGTTCTCAAATGTGTGTCAGCTTGTTGTTTTAAAAATATTTCAGTGGGAGACGCGCTGCCAGCACAGTAATAGCAACTGGCAGCTTCAGAAAAAAACAAGCCGTGGCTTCTGACGTTCTCGCTTTTTGTTTCCTGTTCTTCTTTCGGTATTCTTATCGGCTAATGCCGCAATCTGATTGGTAGTGAAGCAATATTGAGATGCTCGCGACTCGCCCTTCCTGCCTATCTTAGGCTGTCAAGGATTATCATATTGAAAACAACACTTCAGCCCTGATGTGCTATAGGACCCTCTCAGCCCTTCAAAACCTTTCATCCCATTAAACCCCTAAGCCCTTCAAATCCCTTCATCCCTTCAAACCCCTTCAGCACCTCAGACCCCCAGAGCTCTTTAACCCTTTGGACACTCAAAGGAGTGGGAACCGTAGTACAAAAATGCAGTTTAAAACTTTATTGTTTTATTTGAGGCATTGAGTTTTACATGCATGTAGTAGCTCAGAAAGACGTAAGAAGCAACATGTGTTCAAACCCGAATGCGAGAAGCTGTAAACAAAAGAAATGAAACTATATAGAAACAACCGAGCTCTTCTTCGCAAAAAAAAATATATTTCAAGGTGCTCGCTACCAGGCTACAAAACAACACCAAACACAACACACCGGATTAGTTTTGATCACGCTTCGCGTGAATGATTGTGACAGGCCGATAAAAGTAGGGGGTGTATTTTCGTTGAATTGACATGTCCCAAAAACTACCTCGGCAAATTCATTGGGAACAAGTGGCTGACAGCCAAAGTTCCAAGGGAAGTCCGTCGGCAATCATCTACTCAACCTCGACGGCGACGTGAGGCTGAAAATGTCAACCTAAAACTGCATTTAAGCTTTTTTTTTAATTCTTTTATTATTATGATTTTTTAATCTGAATCTGCAATTTAGTTTTTTTTCTTTGTAAATAAATATTTGTTTATTGATTTCCGCCGTGAGTCTCACCTCTCCTGATTTAGTGCACGATCCCGGTCGAACGGGAGAACAGCACAAGTACAAGTCGAACCTTTAGAACCACTCAAACGGACTCGACAGTGCTTAAAACAGAGAGTGGTAGGTGACAAAGATGACATCCTCGCTGATTGCGAGCCACGAACTGGACGTCAGCCCCAAATCTCCCGCGCATGAAGGAGAGGACGCCCGGAGCCGAGGACCTCGGTGAAGTTTGTTGGCAGTGCGGGATGGAACGGAGCGGGTGACCGGGATCCACGGTGCCGACCGCGTGTACTGCTCCATCGAGTCCTCTAGAGTCGGAACCGGCGGCGGCCGAGATTATGCTCCGTGAGCTGGCGGTGACTGCGCTGGCGTTGGCAGTCATCCCTTCGAGTCTCAGATTCCCGAAGGGCCATTTGCCACCTTCAAAACACGACGACACAACACCGCTCGCGCAGACAGCGGTGTCCCACGCAGCCGACCGTCGATTTTCACATTGGGTCCCCGCACACTGCAGGATTCCTGTAAACAGGGACGCAAATCGTTTGGCCAAGCTTGTTTACGTGTGGACACCGTGTGCTACCGTCGCGAAAACGGCGACAGTAAGGAGGATTCACTCCTCGGCTATGACTTTGACAATCTCGCGCCGGTAGCGCTGTTCGAGAGGGCTCTTGGCAGCTCGGCAGAAATAGGCCCACCTGGCCGGTGGCTCGCCGGATGAGCTCTCCTCTTTCGCGCCGAATCCACACGTGCTGAATACCTCGGACACACGTTGCACCCTGTCGAAACTGTAATCAGAAGCATTCAATCAAAACCAGAAACACATTAAATTTAAACAAGGACTCACCCAAAGTCCCGACGCGTCGATGCACCAACTCAAAACAAAAAGCGACGAGCCCTTCTTGTCAAGCTGCCGAGCTCGAGTTGCTCGAGCTGCCAGCGGGACGGTGCAGAGTACGCATTCGCCGTGCGCTACAAATTGGGCGGTGCCGCACACGTACACCTGCCAGTGTACTCATGTGGCGGCGCGACTCGTTTAACTAACGTCCTTCACACTGTCTGCTGGGTGGCAGTCAGTCAGTCCGATCAGCTCTATGTGCGCCCAGAGATAGAGCAAAAGCCGGTCAGGAACCCGCTAAGGAGCCCCCTTCCATCCCCCCTCAGACGACGGCCAGGATCCCTTGGACCCCGGCGGCGTCTTCGAGATTTATTCTGAGGCGACGTTAAACTTACGATACGGCGCGCGCGCCTAAGATTAGCAGTGAAAAATACGAGGGAAGCCGACATATGCCGCTGACGGGAAGTTGCAAACCAAAGAGTTGTCAGTTGGCTCCGAGTGAGTGTTTATTTTGGTTGTGCGTTTTTGTCCTTAGAGTGATAGTTCCTCGGGTGCGCCATTACGTCGAACACCATGACGACGAGTTGATCGGACTCCCAACGTAGAGAGACGCTTGTTTTGTCCAGCGCCAAGTACCATGAAATATATCAACACGCCTGTGCGACGACCTTTACCATTAACGGGTTCAAACGCGTCACCGTCACCCAGGGTTAATTTCGAACATACCGAATGCCAAGCACTTCAAAAAAAAGAGAAGCTAACAACCGAAATAATTAAAAAAAAAACATCGCACCACACCCTGACGCATTTATCCTTCTCTCTCCCACAGACCCATTAAGCTATTTTGATGGGTGTCGTGCTTTCACGGAAAAGATTGGGACAGACACACAGGCCTCCAAAAAGACCTATGACGGTCTCTTACACCCCGCACAAATTCCTGAAGGGTACGTCAGGCCGTTTAGAAACCTTCAAAGTATATCTCAGACACCTCAAACATTTTGGAAGGGTACGTCAAAACACTTAGGAAATCCTGGTGGGCCCCACAGACGCATTGTCAATAGGGCAATAATTGAATCAAGATTGATTCAGGAGTATCACGCGTGGTTGAGCCTCTCAAGACCTGCAAGATACTGTCGCCTTCCTCGGTAATTATGCGAGTTTAGACGCACGACATACGCCTAATGCAAACATTCATTTTAACTCGCCGCGCTGGCCTCAATTTGTGTCTTACGTAATAATAGTTTAAACTAAAAATTTCGCGGCAGTTTTTATTTGTTTTAGTTATAACAAGAAAAAAAGCTGTAGTTGCACCTGTGAGACTGATTGTTTTATGTATAATTTCTTGTGTCACCTGTATTTTGTTTGATTCATTACTTTATCCACTTCTGTTATAACCCGCAAGGGTTGGCAGTATTTGAAGTAAATAAATAAATAAAGTAAGAGCTAACGAGACTCTTACGCAATTTTTTATTCAGTAATTCGTGGAACCTATCTTTTCAATCAGAAAATAAAATTGAGCTTAGGTATACAATATCGTAAGAGCAATATTTCTGTCACAACCTACAGTAAGAAAAAAAGAGAAGAAAACGCCTCTTGCTAATGAACCGGCGATGGGAAAATTCGGCCGTTGAAACTATAGCTGCCACTTTTATCTCGCCGAATGTAAGCTGACAGCAAAGTGAACAAAACTATGCTAATAAGTAAACGCACACACAAAAAGGCCTCCGATCGAGAGGGTTGTCACCCGCGGCAGCAGCGACTCAGCATAAAAGGGGGTCACACCGAAACACAATCGATACGTGAACAACGCATGCGCACTTACGACAAGGCACACGCGCTCTCTCCATCCGTCGCCTAATGCGAACCCATCACGCATCTCGAAGCGCACGAAAGCTACGGCACGCACTCGCCGTCGCGTGGCAAGCGCCAGGAAACTCCGCCTCCTTACAGATAGCATCGGAGAACACTGCGAGACCTAGAGCAGCACTGTGCTGTCGTCGCCACTTCTACCTTTTTTTGCTCATTATAGTTTTTTTTTTATCGCGCTTCAAAACATGCAGTTCCCAAAAAAAGTAGCCTCCCCCCCCCCCCCCCCCCCCCCCGCCGCCACCAAACAGAAAAGTTTCCGATGAAAGATAGACTTTGACGTATTCGTGGGGCTGAATGCTTGACGATGTTGGTTCTCTGAATGCACGGGGCAATGTATCCTCAGAGACTTAAGTTGAATACGCCTATCATCACTCAGAAATTTGACTGAACGCTCTTCGTGAAACGTATTTTGTAATAACGCGGAGACTTGGGTTATAATTAGGGCTCCGTGTTTTCGGAGTTTATTTTTCGTCAAATTCGGAGGGTGTTTTTCGGAGTTCATTTTTTTTGCCGAAGATTCGGAGTTTATCGAAGTTTATATTTGTTTGATTCCGAATGCTCCAAAATTCGGAGTTTAATTTCGCGCTGTTTTCTATTGAAAATAAATATGGAAATAATAACCCGGACTTAAACGTATGCCAGATACAAAATAAGACATGCCTTGTATCGATAAAAATTTCTTCAGTTGAATTTGACGTTCGTGCCATTAACATTGGCAATAATAATTTGTCCCACAACAAAAGTCGCACACAAGTGTTGCTTCGATAAACGTCGATACCTTGAAATCAATAAACTCCCGGGGGCAGTCGCTACGAAGCTCGTAGTCATCCCATCCTAGCTATTCCATCAGTCTATCCCGCCGCCGCGCGAGGTGGAGTGTTTAAGGATGAAATAGAGAGTTTCAACTGTCCTTTTTTTTCTATTTAATACAATCTCTATGTTTCATAGCTCTCGCTTTTACAAAAACATACCTTCTCCTTTCTGTAAATCACAAATCGCATGACTCAAACTGGAAACCAAAAGAGTGGCTTTGTCGTGACCCGAATGTACAATGACCTGTTGCCCTGAATCAACCTCGACGAGACAAGTGGCAAGACCCCTTTTGACAACGGTCTTAGATCTGAAAGATAATTATGGTGCCATTTTCTCAGGACCATTGACTCCGTGTTAATCGAGGTGTAAAAAAAAAAAAAAGTGTTTTACTTTTTTTTTGCGGGGGGGGGGGGGGGGGGGGTGGCATTGGCACATAAACATTCGGAGTTTACCGGATTAATCCGAATTGACCAAAATTTAACCGGCGGATGTTTTTCGAAGTTTTTCGTATTTATCCGAAAACACGCAACCCTAGTTAGTCCTCAATTCCTTTTTTAAGATGACCATCTAGTTGTTAAGACTACCTATCAATTGTGTAACAGTCATGGTATCAACACCTGATCGCGTTCCCCCATTGCGAGTATACTCGAAGAATTTAGTTACATGGCCGCCTCTTGCCGAACAGTTTTGTTCGTCCCGGAAATTTACACTGTCCCGTGTTTTATATCTTAAGGTGGCACAATATTCAAACCTCCGAAAATTGAGAGCGCTTTGTTTGTTAACGTCAACGTCGAGAATCGTAACAACCAGAAGATGTGTAAGGATGTTAGGCATAGAAGAAAAGGTATAGAGAAAATACAATTCAGAGACGTGTCACTTCATATCCGATGCAGCACCGTACACATCTATTTTTTTATCAATAGCTTTGTTTAGATTAGACATGATTTCCTTTCGCAAGCCTTGTTTCTGTTACCAAGATCTTATAGAAACACAAAACTTCGGAGTCGCAAACTGCATAAACGACGACATGCAAGAAAAGAAAGAAAAAATTTAAAACAAAAGAAACAAACATAAAGTGAGAGTCAAAGTTTATATATTATATTTTGCTTCTTCAGCCAAAAGCAGATTTGCGCCGAGCCGTGCCAACAAGAATCTAGCTTGTATTTAAGTCGCGTTTCTATGCGCCTGTCGCCAAAGTTTATTCTTTAACTCCCCTATTTGCTTTCCACTCTCCAATTTTCGTGGGCATTAACTATGGTAATAGCTTCTGGCGAGGAATTTCCATCGAAATGGGATATTTGTTGCGAGTCTGCGCTTCCTTTCAATGCATCCTTTGGGCAAACAAGCCACGTTGGAATTGAAGATTGGCGGAGACCGACGACGACTGCAACCCGCAAAATCTAAAACCCACGTTTCTTGTAAAAAAAAAAAAAAAAAAAAAAAAAAAAAAGGTGTTGCGTTTGAAAAAGTTGACCGTTGGAAAAGAAGCATTCGTTTACAGACATCCACTGGGAAGCAACCCCGTTAATCTTGTTACGTCATTCAGGTTGAACATCCCTGCTGCTTTTGAAGCACAACGGAAAAGAACTTTTGGTTTAGTGTGTTTCTTTGTATTTGCATTTATATTTGATTAGCCTTCGAGCTATTTGAGCAAAACATGAACAAATGACATAACGCTTCATATATTTTTCGCTGGGCGCTACTGGAACTTTGACGTTTGGTAGCTAGGCTGTGAAAATCTAGGTAAGTCCGTAACACGCCGACAAGATGTGTGAGTGTTGTTAATACCGTTTATTGAATCTTTCGAAAAAGTTGTATAACTTGCTTCTGTCTATTTTTGGTTTGGAGAGGTTTCGACTAGGAAAATATAGTTATTCGTAAATGTAAACAAGATTTTTTTAGAGAATAATGTGCTTGACAAATGGTGTTATTTGCTATTTTAGCTATTAAACAGATTTTATTAATTGTTAGTTGCCGTTTCAGGGCTCGGAACTTGAAACAGGCATGAATGCAGTTGTTAAGTTTCGTAAGGTTTACAATTGTTCCTAGGAGAGCTCACAGTAGCCTGGGATATTCTTCCAACCTGACTCGCACGTAGACAAAAAAAAAAAAAAAAAAAAACTGCTCAGTTTAATAAAAAAGCTGTGAATGTCTTTATTTTTACTGAGATTTACAGCTGGCGTAGAAACACCGAGTGTTGTTTCGTTGTCTTGCGTTGCGCATGTATTGAACCTGAAAGTGTGAAAGAAAATAGTGCGAATAAAAAAAGGAGAGCTGACCCCAGCCAACATAGCACAAGAGCAAAATACCCAATTTCAGGCTCTCAATTGCTTCTTCATGCCGTTTTCTTTTCTTTGAGAGGTTTTGTCTTTTCAGCTGGTCCTCCCGTGGAGTCCCAGACGATCATCAGCAACCCGTACATCCAGATTCTAGAAAACGGATCCCTGGTATTGAGAGAGATCGGACTCAACGACGCCGGGGAGTACATGTGCCAGGCCACGAACAACGTTAAGCCCAGCCTCAGTGAAGTCATCAAGCTGCGGGTTCACGGTAAGTCACAGACAGAAAAACAGAAACAAACACACACACACAGACACACACACAGACACACACACACACACACACACACACACACACACACACACGCGCGCGCGCGCGCAAACACACACACACACACACACAGAATGACAGAACACTGTCCCTTAACTATAGTGGCAAGAGTCTACCGGCATTTTCCGAGTCGCTTCCGAACTTTTCAGTGACAACCACTGAACATTCCCTACACATTTTGTACTTCCCAGTTTGTTTTTTAGGGACTTTAGTGGATAACGCTGCAGTGTCATTGGTGAAAGAGCGATGATAATATGGCCGGGACCCGCATGCGCTGTGCTTTTTAAGCTGTCAGTTTCTGCAGCATTTGTCTAGACATTATGAGCGTAATTGCACGATATTGAGCCCATGCGATACCTTTCTTGGTTTATCTCCAATATACACGCGATATCATGCGTGGCATTTTAAATATCACTTTCTGTAATGAAAACCAAACACTTAATATAACTCAATACCTTTAAGCTGTTCCAATGAATTGACTTTGTTTTATCGAAAACATGGGCGGATTATAAAGTGACACGAGCTAATTAAGTTATATTTCAAATCAAATCAAATCGAACCAAATATCGAATACAGAAAATATAAAAAAATGGCAGTTTTGAGTCTGTTACTTGTAGAGAGAAAAATCATTAATTAGGTTGCTCAGCGAAACATATCAAATGAAAAGGTAACTGCTTAAATTTAAACAAACAGTGCACTATTCTACACCCCAACTAATTATTTAGTGTGCCATACGTATCTGACATAAGTCCTTGTCACGAAAATAAATAAAAAATGTGAGATATACTTTAGTATATATATAAAAGAAATTGCATTAAAACGTGTTTGTTAAAAATCAGTTTTTTGGTCGTTTTTACAACAAAATGAATTTTTCTGACTTTGTCTCATGCTTCCGTATAAACGAAACTGTATCTATATCAACCGTCGTACCTTATACGAATGAGATTCTAATCTTTTTTTATTGTTCAAATAAATCATCACCGTTTTAAGTTAGCAGACAATGTGTTGTTTAGGAAAATATACCATATGAATCCTCGGTACCCCTTGAAAATATATTCTTCCCATTTGAGGATGAAGACCAGCATTCATGATTTATTCCACTGTGCTAAACAAAAGAGTTGAGTTCTGAATCGTATTATAAGAAAAACATTCGTAAAATGCCGTTATCTTCATGTCCTCGTGGAATTTGAAAAGACATAAACAAGAAACGTGAAATATATTGGATGTCTGTGCATATTTTGCCGTTCGTTCTCGCATCAATTTCTCTTTCTTGTTGCAACAGGCCAACGCACGCTCGTGCCAGGGTATCAAAAAGAACCAAATTCAATAAAGTCGCATTTTGGAAGTCCTTTGAAGAAAACTGTATTGATCCATTCTGAGAAAAGCGCTCATGATCGGCGTTCGCCTAAGAAATATATGCCAATGTATGTTTCTTCCCATGTGTTTTTTTTTATAAGACTAATAAAAAATAAATGATGCGATACACACCGTGGTAATATAATATTTGCGGAAAAACCTTCAGAGAGTGCGTACATAAATTTACGGGACGAGAAAAAAGATCCACGCGATGAGGATAGAAACGATATAAGATCGCGCCTCAGATAACTTTTTTCATTTTAACGGCGCAAGCCGAGCAGATTCAGGTACGCTTCGTCCCTCGCTTTGTTTATATGCGCCTTTCTATGTACATTACACGCATCTCTTTTCTACAAGCACAAACATTTGAAATAGAAAGCAGAAACGTTCGAACGGTAATGAATAAATAAATAAATAAATAAATAAGTAAATAAATAAATATATATATATATATATATATATATATATATATATATATATATATATATATATATATATGATGTGTGTGGGTTTTGCGTGTTGTTGTAACCGCTAGTTTTCTGTTTAACCTTATCTTGCTCAAATCATAACATACACAGCATATTTGACATCGAGTAGCCGAGGCATTTCCGAAGCTAAATTAAATACAGCTTGATTATGAAGTCAAGGGACATTCAGCTGCACGTATTAAGGTTCCTGATAACTTTATATATATATATATATAGCCGCAGAGGGCTATCCGGTTGTTCTTAGTTGAAAGCCGAACTCCGGAATCGGTTGATCCCATTGAAGCCGCCGGAAGTTTGGTCTAGTCCCGGAAGTAATCATTTCTTATAGGCTGGGGACCCCTTCGCGTCCACTGTGGGCGAGTTAGTCTGTTTTTTTTTTTCATATAACCATGCCGGGCGAAGCAATCCCGTGGCGGAATTGATGCGGGTCAAAATGGCGGTGTAGAGGATATTTGAAGCACCCAGATGGCACGCTAAACGCGAAAAACGCTGAGAACGTCATAGAAAAGGCTGGAAACAAGCAGCCTTTTCGCTTTAAAGAACGGTCGTACCAAGATATGCTAACGATAATTACGTTCGTTCTTTTCTTACAAATTAATCTATTTCTGTTAAAGTATTTTTGGAGTATAGTCCACGCCCTGTTCACACTCCGCACTTAAAGGATGCTCATACATTTTAAAAATGCCTGCTTTATTGGCTTACAAAGGAGCCTGCGTTAGGCGTAAATCATCATTAACATTATCTATCATTCACAAACTACGTCGCGTTTCTGCATGAGGAACGATCTTGAAAAAATAACAAATCATTGTGTACCCCGTACCTGTAGATAGTCCTTACCATAAAAAGTAAAAAAAGTTAACTTTTCAACATGTATAATCCGCGGAATAGAGCCCGAAAAAAAAGAAATGCGGCAATAAAAATACATTTTGTACCAATCAGATGGCTGTTTGTTTTTGTCGTCTGCTAAACCGTCGTACCTCCCTGTCTGGCACGTAGGGATGCTGGTACAAAGGACAGGCGACAAAATGAAAATAACATTCATGTGCTATCGAATCTAAATAGTTGTATGGTATCCGGCAGAATGCACTGACGTTTTGTTGATGGTGAGGAGCTGAGCACGGACGTTACGTCTTTTAAGGGGCTGATGGTACACACTAAAAAAAAAAAAAGATATCTGGGTTCCAGTTCCTATAGAAAACTAGACAATAAATCACGGCGAACTATACCGCGATCTTCGAGATTGGTAAAACTCAAAATTCGATTTGAGGAAAAAAAAATATATGATGAGCATGACATTTATCTTGTTCGTTGTCCATGCGGACATCAAATTTTTTTAGATGTAATGGTAATATGAACTTCGTCATTTAATTGGAAGGTTTGTTTTTATTTGTCGTTTTGTTCACCGTGATTTTTGGTTCTCGTGTTCTGCACGAAAGTTAACCCAGACACCTCTCTTTAGAGTGCTGCAGTGCTCTTTGACTTGCTGGCAGACGTAATCTTGCGAAAAGACACGGAAGCGTAAGGAAACACAAACCGCTTATTGTCGTTTGATTTCTCTTAGTTCCGGCTTTCTTCAAGACCCAGTTCAGCTCCCAGAACGTGCGCAAAGGAGAGGATGTTCGCATTCGCTGCGAGGCCTACGGCGAGAAGCCCATCAACATCACCTGGACTAAGGACAGACAGATTCTCAACTTCGACACGGAAACAAGGTAAACCGTCCTTTCTCTCGTGAATCGAGTAAAAGTTGTAGTAATACTTTTGATAGTTCTTTGCCCTACTTGTAGGTTAAGTTCCGTGGACGTATATTAAGTTTTCTCAGACACCTGTGCCCTAAAACGTAGTTCACTAATGCAAAATATATTAGAAAAAAAAAGTCAAATAGATTTGTTTTTTAGTAATTGTTTTGGCAAGATCTACCCTACTTTTTCTTCAATTAGCCTTCTCAAACAGTTAAAACACGTTATATTTTTTAGATAGCAGAAGTGCCAACTAATATGGTGATTGACGTCACAGATATTTGAATTAAATGTGAAATATATGTGCTTTAATATATTAGAAAAGGAAAATAAAAAAGTGAAATAGATTTGTTTCTTAGTAATTGTTTTGGCAAGATTTACTCTACTTTTTCTTCAATTAGCCTTCTCAAACAGTTCAAACACGTCATATTTTTTAGATAGCAGAAGTACCAACTAATATGGTGATTGACGTCACAGATATTTGAATTAAATGTGAAATATATGTGCTTTAATATATTAGAAAAGGAAAATAAAAAAAGTCAAATAGATTTGTTGTTAGTAATTGTTTTGGCAAGATTTACTCTACTTTTTCTTCAAGCCTTCTCAAACAGTTCAAACACGTCATATTTTTTAGATAGCAGAAGTACCAACTATTATAGTGATTGACGTCACAGATATTTAAATTTAGTGAAATATACGTGCTTTAAGCGCCGTTCACACACTTGCAACCGAGTACAAACGAGAGAAACAAGACCGGTTTTTAAGCCTCTTGCGACGTCTTAGGGCCAGCTCCGCAGCAGCGCACCCGGTCCCAAGGCGTCGCAAGAGGCTTAAAAACCGGCCTTGTCTCTCTCGGTCTTACTCGGTTGCACGTGTGTGAACGGGCCTTTATTCAGCAATGGGCGTCGTTTGCGAAACGTTTCTATGCAGCCTCAACACGTTACCGACGTATGGATGTTCTACGCTTATAAGCTTGACCTACGACGAAACTTTGAGCGACTTATAATGTTGCATGACGCATACGTTCAAACCTGGCTGTATTTTGTTCAAAAATAAAATTCAAGGTAAACTGAGCAGTCATATTTGTTCATAAAACTAAGACTGGCAAAACTGTGCCTGTAATACAAGTCGAAGGGCTGACTTCTACAGCACACTGTTAATAATGATTATGTATAGACACTTACAGAAACGTTTTCCTTGACAAATTAGAGCTTGCTAGTAAAGTTACCGGGATAAAGGTATGCAACATGAACGGCAAAAAAAAAAAAAAAACGAAGACAGTACAATACATTTTTTTCTTTCTTTCTCTTTCCCTGTCTTTTTTGCCCTTCGTGTTGCTTTTTTTTACGAAGAAACGTTTCCTATGTTGAATACAACGATAAAAGGCATAAAGTTATGGGCTTTAAATTGTTCTTATAATATGTACCAGTGTTTATTTTTACGCCTAGGTCACTTTTTGCTACATCCTTCGCAAACCGTTAGGTGTTTGAAATGAAATCCTTGGTATTATTTAAGTTTCTTTCTATACGGCGCAGTAAGACTAGCGATTCTGCGCGCGTACAAGTGTTTACTTTAACTTCACGTACCGTCACGAACATTTTAAGTGCAGTGTCGTTAAGAACAAAAGATAGTCAGCCTCTTGGTACAATTTCTATAGCACAAACAAGCAGCGGTGGAAGAGCGCATTCGGAGAGGTTTGTTTTGTGTTTGGGTCATAAAAAAGGAATCTGTACATGACACTTTCTAAACTCGTAGCAGCCATGGGGAAGGCGGGAACTGATGTTCAAAAACTATAAAAAATCGCACAAATTAAAAATAAAAGAACTCTCGAGAGTTAGACGCAAAAAAGAACGAGAACATAAGTAGAGATGAAGACTGGATAATGCACACACTCGTTGTTTTTCACGTCTAACTTTAAGAATGAACAGCCAACTAGCCCACCTCGCCGTATTGGAACATACCAATTCATAAAAAAAAGAAAACGATCTCCGGGAATTATATATCGCGCAGAAATCTTAAAAATAATTTTAGCGAAAAACTATTTCCTATTTATGGGATGTAGCTACCCCGCTCTTGCGAAAATAGCATGAAAGTATGGTTCGTATTCGAAATTCCGTGCGATTTTAGATTGATGTTTCGCACTTGTGTTCCAGCCTTAACTGTTGGGGAAGTAAGCGCGTTCCTCACCGATTACTATAACAAGTTGATAAGTATATTGACTATGCTGACAATTAACTAAATTTTCGTTTAAAATTAAAAAAAGAGCACTCTACTATGATGTCTTTATAGATAAGTTATATTTGTCAAGAAAACAAATCGGAGAAATAGATTCTAGCGGCCCTCCGCTGCATGTTTAACGACTGCGCTAACCTCGAACGCATTGGTGCTTGGAAGGGCATCATTTTCGACAAGGCAATGATAGGCTGCACAGCAAAACAATATTCGATCGTTTCCGGACGGTGCATTAGGCGCAGGCGGTCAATAGTGTTTGGTTTCCATGAGAAACACTGAACGCTACAGAACTAAAGATGTATATGAGCAGTTATTGTCGCACTATGCACCGGTTAAAGGCAGACACTCGATTATCAATTGTTATCATCACAATCGAAGGGCGCATGAATTATTCTTTAATGCTGTCAGCAAACTCCTACATGGTGCAACTAAATGAAGAGCGCCTGCTGTTGGTTATATTACTGTTCATTTAAAACATCATTAGGAACTGATAAAACCGGGGCATTTAGGCGTGTGTGTTTCAAAATGACGGTGACATCGTTAGACGAATGTTTATAGTTTTATATATCAAAGGTATCCATACAATTTATATCGCTTAAAGCAGTCCCTAACGCACTTCATATTCAAAGAACGGTTATGTTTATTTTGAATTCATTGGTTAATCTTTAAGTGTTCATTCGGTTTCTCATGATGGTGAATAACCTCCGACGCCAAGTAACTAACCGTGCCCCAATCATTTAATGTAGTTGTAACCAAAACCCACCGAATGTGTTTTTTTCAGCCTTCAAAAAAAGAAATAAAGAAACTAATCTCGATTGATAGAGTTACGAAGTACCGACGAGCCGGACGGTTCGACTGTAACTTTCCACTGAAATAAAATATAGCGATGCGTTCTAGCTGATTTTTTAGCAAGCTTTTGCAAGAAACACCTCCTGCCATATGGATCTTCATCTTGTTTTTTCCTGTATAAAAAGTCAGGGAGTGTGCGCCACGGGCGATCAAATCAATATGCAAATGAACATTCGTTTGGGGACAGTGATTCCACACTTATACTTCGCCGTACTTTTCAGCACTATACGTCCAATAATGTGAAAGAAAATTCAACCCACGTGATTGAAAAATAATATTAATCTCGGACAGACCTTAAACGGATGATGATCAAAATACTCGTAGGAACATTTTTGGTACCGGTGCAGTGGCTAAAACCTGCCGTCTGTATTTTAGATATTCCTTGGCTAAAGCATTGAAGACGTTATCTGAATAATGCCGAGGCGCGGAGCTATTATAGATACGGCAGGTTTATCATACATTCATTAAAAACCTTACCCTAATAAACTGGTCGATGAATTGCAAAGCACCAGCCTACCCAAACGTATATTACGTATTAATGGAAAATTTTTTGCAAGACTCCTAGTAACGAAAATGTGGCCCACAACATATCGATCGGAGCGACACAAGAGAGGATTTTCTTATTGAGGGCTAAGTTATTTCGCTCCAGGATAATACTCTGTTTCGCGCATCTACATATGCATCGGAAACGTAATGGAAAATAGGACGTAAACGAAATAGACTGCAGCCTTGCGCAGTAGCGGTGCTTTTTTATTCAATATTTATTTTACTGCAGAATTTAGATTAGACATTTAAATCTTCATCCGCACCTGTAAGCATAATGCTAAAATTAAAAAAGAAGAAGAAATGCTGTCGCTGTTAGCCTAAGAAACCTAGTTTGTGGCGAAATCACGAGCATGTTATTACCACTTTTCAGCCAATGAGATTGCAGCATTTGCCGATAATAACTGCAAACGACGAATCACGAAGCAAGTAAGGTGAACATAATAACTAAGCTAAGCCCGGGGTTATTTAAGCTATCTGTGACAACACTACACGTTAAAAAACGGTTAAAATGCAGGCGACCCAGTGTAAGTTATACATGACGATTGAAACCTAAAACTGTGGTTTTGAAAAACCGAAAATTGTGCGTGATGGAGGAAGGAAAATGGACAGACAACATCTCACGTTAGACTGCGTATTATTGGCTGAGAAAAGCTACCCACGGAATGCCATGGCGTGTTTGGACTCGCAGGTACAAAGAGACGTCGACAACCTTTCCCGAGCGCCTCGTGTCGGAGATTCTGGTGAAGGCGACCGACCGACGCGATTCCTCCCTCTTCACTTGCATGGCGTCCAACGCGTACGGCAGAGACGAGACCAACTTCCAGATAGTAGTGCAAGGTGAGCCCTTCTTCTTTTTTTTTTTACTGTTACGAAGAACAGTGCCCGTAAGCCGTGTATAATTAATTCGGGGCTGATCTTTTGACGTCTGCTACAAATTTCAAAAATCCGTTTTCTTTTTTTTTTTTTTTCGCGAGACAATACAATTTGACAAGATGGTAACACGAAGTCAATGACTTCTAATAGTACTACGTTAGCCTTCTTGAAGGAGTATCGATGACATCAACAAAGGTACAACAATACGTTGCTCTAGATTTCTTGAGGTGAACTTTGTTACAATGGTTTCCCGGTAAAATTTAATGTCAGTTCCATCCCCTGATATTATTTCATCGGCCGATCAGCGCGCGTACACGCTCGTAGTCAGGATGACGGGGCTTATTCTACTCGCCGACCACCGGATGACTGTCGACAAAACTGGCATCATATGTTTCTTTGGAACGGGGTTGTAACTCACTCAGAGAAGGCGAGTATCCATAATCGTTGCCTTTTTCGCAGACATTGTTCCTCCTAGCGTTTGTTAACCTTTATAATAGTGTAGTCCTAATTGCATTTCATGACAAAACCTTACACTCATATTTTATGCTTCAGTTTTAAATATGAAAGCCATGAAAAAGAATAACATTTTTTGTGGAGCAGGAATAATTCCTGTAAAACACGATGTCTGGGACTCTCCTGCTTTAACTCTTTGTTAACCCAAACGGCTCTCTCTTCGTGCTTCTAATTATTGGCGTAGCAAACTGAGTCAATATTTGCGGATTGGCATTTTCAAATTTAGCGCATGTTAGAGCGCACGGCACAAGAGACTTAAAATAAAGCAGTATATACACGAGAGTTTTTAACTACACTTTAATCACCGCAAAACAAAACACAAAATAGTTCATGCTTGTAGCTCCCCCAAGATATAGTCACAGCTTTTAGTGTTCATGCGAACTGCTGTATTAGTTGTTTTTTTGTGTTTTTTAGAACATGTGTTTGTCTTTAAGGACATTTTAAATTTATATAGAAACTCTACTTGCGCTGAGCGACCGCTCGCGTCGTATCGATGCAAGCGGTTTTGTTTTGCTCACGCCGAGAAGCTTTCGTCTCTTGCACGCAGCAAGTTAAGAAAAAAATCGTATTTTTCGCGAAATGTGGTTGGAATTCCGCCGCCGCGTACCTATGAACGCAAGTGCGACGTGGTTGATTCTCATACACGTACGTCGTGGTTCGCGTCGTAGGTGCCACTGATTACCCCCCCCCCCCCCCCCCCCCCCAGAGCTCGGTGATCCCTGAATTAAGTGGGGAGGCGCGGTGAAAGTTTCTAAGACCCTCAAACATTACGCCTAGCAACTGTATACTGCCAAAGATGAATTTCGCATAACGCGAGTAATGTTGGAAAACAAGTCTTTCAAACAGACTTCACGGAAGCCACTCTTTCGCCGCGTCGTTGCTGGCGGTATGCCATCTTCTCACTGTGCGGCCGACGGGAAAACACGACCTCCCTGGCCTCGCACCAAGAGCGGAGAGAAGAGTTTTCCGTAATGGCGACGACAACGGACGCGGTCGAACTCTTTGCAAAGTGTCGCCCGTAAAATTATAGCTTAAAATTAAAAGAAAAAAAAATTTGCGGCAAGCACGTCACTGTACGAGTGGAACGTCGTCCCGTACTGAAAGGCTACGTCGTGTGGGTGGCGACGACACCGTTGTCCTGGGAGCCGCCATTGCACACTTGACGTCAGCTTCGGACGTGGATCGTTTTAAATTTAGCCTCTCATGTAGTCTGTTACAACCCAAAAAGGTAGGGCGAAAAAAAGGAAGTCAGGAGAGCAGGGAGCAGAGGGAACGCTGAAAAGAAAAGGAGAAAACCTTTCAACCATGTTCAACCATGAGAAAACCTCCTCCTTTCTTCAGCGTTCCGTCTGCTTTCTTCCCCCTGGCCTTCCTCTCCCTCGCCCTACATTCTTGAGCTGCAACTTACAATAGCCTCTCGCACACCGCGAGGGGAAAAAAAAAAGTTGTGTTTGAGGTAACCTTGGGCAACCCACTTTATTTTTGAAAAATCGCCTTTGTACACAAAACCGAGAACCCGGTTTGGGTTCTACGGGCACGTAGGGGCTTATGAAGTTATATACTATGGTGCATATAAACATTATGGTACGCCACTCTAAAACCCTCCGTTAGTAACTATGTCAAAAGCTGGTCATGAAGTATTTCGCGTTTAATATTTCAGTGAAGGCCGCATACTGGCTTAGCGACCTTTCGTGTTAAATTTGCAACCACAATGACTGAATTGTTGTGCGCTAGAGGATTGCAAAGCGCACTCTTCTATATTAGTTTCAGTCAAGTAAGTACTACGTTTAAAATGAACATACTCTTAGAAATATGTTATTGTAAAAACCTTAACGGTAACAAATAAACTCACAGTCAAGCAATATCAGCAGGTCGGATTTCTTGGTAGACGGGGCAGTTCCCTAGGGTAGAGGATGTGTTGCGCTGCCTTATTTGTGGAGGACGTGAGGTAATTACTACCAAATGTGCAAGCCCCGTCGGTGTGGAAGTAACCTTTTCTAAATATCACTGCGATTCTTTGTGGTATTTTGAAAGTGTACTACGAATGCTGCGAAACTTTCGAAATTGCTGTGTGGTTATGCCTAATTCATTTAAACTAAGGTGGTCTGAATTAGGCCACCATTAGTTGTTAACTTTGCATCAATAGAGAATGCGAATTAAGGCAAGTCTCTTTATATGTTGCCTTCCTGCGTTAATAAATCCCAAGTTGAAGAATTCAGATTCAAAATGGTACGATGACAAAGATATTGGAAATAAAGCAAAGAGCAAGGCATGACAAAAATGTATGCAGAATAACAACGACGTTTAAAGCAACCGTTCTCACCGGAAGCAAAAGTTGGCCACATTATTTGTGAAAAGTTGAATGCCGGGAAAAGTTTCAGGTTTATTTTTCAGCCGAAACAGAAGTATGTGTTTGAGGGGAAAACAATTGTTTTTAAAGGTGGTAAGACGTAGAAATAGAGAATATGAAATATTTCTAAATCTGAGCAGCTATTTATGAAAATGATCATAAATAAATGAGTAGGTAGATCTAACCTACATTAATTTGTGTTTATAAAAGTGATTGGGAATTTATTTGAGTGCATGATGGTGTTTCAATATGTCTTATGAAATGTGTGGGCACCATTGCAGAAATGCCTAAGAAAGTTTTATATGTAATAACAGGCAGTGCGTCCAGACAAAATATAACTTTAACTTTACGATAGTTCAAAAATAAGTCTGAATGAAATATATTCCCAAGAAAATGGCACATCGTAAGACAGTCATTTTTACATATGGTGGGTCTTTGTTTCAAACTTGAAAGAAAAGAAACAAAATTGAATCAATTCTATCAGTTGAGCCGCCGTGTGCAAACCCGTTTCGGGATATCCGTTCAGAATAGGCGTTTCAAACAGGCTTCCTGCAAAGAAAAGTTCACACAATAAGGAGGCACTAACACTGAAGGATATAAATCGTTTTAGGTGGTGTTACATATAAGCAAAAAATATATCCGGGAACCTTTGCCCGCTGTCTAAGGTTCACTAGCGAAGCCCATTATTGTTTTATGGCGTTAGTGGGGAGCCCTGCATAAAAGGGCATGCTACTAATTTGGGAGTCAAATATGCGGCCCGTTGTCCCGCCTAACAAATCCTTGTTTGCCTTTACGACCTCAAATTTATCGCCTAGAGGGTATGTTTTACTCTGTTCCTCAGTATGCGTTAGGAAGACAACATTAAAAGTTTCTCCTATAACCGTGTTGCTGCGTGATTAGAAGTGAAAATTCACTTTTCACGTTGTTGCCCCATTCAAGACTCGAGACTCCATCTTAAATATAAGAAGATCAAAGTAAAAAGCGATGCGAGCGGGTGAGAGTACGATGTTAATAAAAGTTATACGTTAAAGCAGAAAAAAAGACAAAGAAATATTACTGTTTTTTTATGTTTTAAAGTTTTTCTACCTCGTGCTTGTATAGTGCTACTAAAAATTGAATTCTGCATATTTAAAAGTTCCTAACATTTGGCCCGCCTTCACACTACAGCAAAATGCAACGCAACTTCGCAAAAAAAAAAAGAAGCTATTTCGCTTAGTCTTTGTACATTGAGGTCAACGTACAGTGAAAAAGACGAAACTTAAACAATTTGTATCGATATTTTACTTACCTAAGGCCCCGTATAACCAAATGCACCGGGAACACACAGCTCATGGAAGCCGTCTTCTTTTTTTTTCTTTTTTTTTTACTTACGTCTTTATTTACGCAGGTGGTGAGTATTATAAGAAGACAAAACTAAATAAACAGAAATGAATGATGGTTGTGCTTAACTAGGAACGTGCGTCTATTTATTTTGGTAAACAGGACTACTCGTACATATTTAAGGGTAGGGATGTGACATAATCAACAAAAACTTGAGTAACGCATGACTTGGATTTTTATGTACACGCTCGTTGCTTCGTAACTGTTCCTTTGGAGATCTAATCGTCTACTGCCTCCATCTCATCATCTGTGCATATATTGTATACGGTGAGAAAGGAAAGGCTCTTTCCAAAACGTCCGTGTGTTGAAGCCTCTATTGTTACTCAAATTTCTCTCTTAACGTCTTTTATTTGTTGATAAAAATATCTTTAAGTACATTCGACATTGGAGGGTTAACACAAATCGTTACTCCCTTGTGTTTTTTAAGCTCCAGTGTCCACATTTTTTTTTGTGGTTTACCTAGTTCTGCATGTTTTGTTAACGTATTTTCGCAAATACTAGTTTTCCTCCAGAGTTTATCTCCTAAATATTTTTTAGTGATGCCCCCCCCCCCCCCTTCCTGGAAATTGGACATGTGCAAGTGAAGTATCAATAGTGTGCAGTGGTACTGAAAAGTGGCGGTTTCCCAACGTATACAAACCGCCATCAACGTTGTGGCATGTCATTCCGCTTGCAACAACATGATAAACCCAAGCGAGAAAAGAAAAAAAAACATTTTGCTGTTCTGGTTAAGGACGGCGTACAAACCTCAGGGCGCTGCCCATTTTGCTTCAGCCATCTTGCTTCGCGATTGGATATTTGGTGTTCTTATCGGCTAATTCAAGAAAATCATTGGACACGAATCAATAATAAGAGAGTTAGGCTTCGCCACGCCGCACGTGTTTTGTTTTTTTGCTTTTTTTTTAGCAGGCAGTGATCGCGGATTACGTTGAGCCTCGTATACTGCTACCTGAGTTCGCTAGAGTGTCTATAGATTGTAGAGAGCGTCCAACTCAAGCCATGGGGGGCGTTCGCAGTTTAATTGCGTACGCCTCCCGCGCGCCGACTGGTCGCAAGTGCGCATGCGCTGCGTTTTTGCGTGGCGAGGAGGAAAGCAGGCGGAAAGGCGGAGGCGTTTGCAGACGATCGACGATTTTGGCACCTCCTGGCAGTTCATATTGGAAACGCGGCTCATATACCACGTGACCCGCCTCGAGCGGTTGAACACTCCCTGGGATAAGTGCTTTCTAGAGTTCGACACGAAGGCTCTCAACCTCCGGTGAAACCTCCATTTAGGTAATGCAATGACATGAGCTTAGCTTCAAAAAATTCAGAATCTCACTACACGAATGCCATAACCTTTTACTGAAGTTGGGGTTGCCCACAATCAGATTTTAAATTCAAGGTCGCTAACATTTTCCGCGAACATTTTTGTTTTTGCGGTGAAGCTTTGATGCCCCAAGAAGCTTTTGATTGATAAGTTCTATTCTTTTCACGAATCGGGGTACGCGCTAAGAGAAAAAAAAAAAAATATTCGCGTCATAATGCCGATGGTAGTGCTACTTCTTGTTGCCAACCACTAACAAGTAACAGCAAACTTCGCATTCGAAGCGTCAATTCAATGCGTCCACAAATCGTAGTAGCGTTTGCTTTAGAAACACCGCTTTGTATTGGTAAAAAATCGAGACGAGCCAAGTTGTGTATGTTGTGTAGAAAACATAAAACTGTAGGTTTTTTTACCGACACTTAGACGCCGTTGACATCATGTGATGAATCGTGCGACAACATTTTCGTGAGCCGTGGTGCTTAATCCGGTGCAGAAAAACCGGACAGCCCGCGGAACCTGAACATCAAGGAAGTGACGAGTCAGAGCGTTGCCATGGCGTGGATGCAGCCCTACAGTGGGAACCTACCCCTTACCAGCTACGTCATCCAGTACAAGAAGGATTCAGGTAGGGACACAACGCTTTCTCTACGTTATAGTCAACGAAGAGACTAGACACCTCCCATACGTGCTTTTGGCATAGAATGTCTTTACTCGTTTTTCTCTGTTAGCAAAAACCCGTTAAGATGCAGCCTCAGATTCCAGCTCTAGATTTTACACAAACTCAGGTATAAAGCATATAAGCCCAAAGGACCCAAGAGGCGTAATCATGTCAGGATGTCACGTGACACTGTGACATCACGTGACGCGCTGACGTCATACCCATTATGACGTCGCCTCGTTCATCGGTAAAAGAATTTGTGCATATCCAAGTTTATCAGGTATGACCAAGACATCTGGATGATGCTTCCTAAGAGTAACTGAGTATTTAAATGCTGCGCTTCAGGAAACCAAGGCTAAAGGAAGATAAATTCTATTCCTCTATATAAAAAAAAACTTGGCGATTAATTCGTTTCAGGAGTGGAACGTCTGACACACTTGTTTTTTTTATAAACAAAACAAAAAAGAAGACTGTGCAAAACAAAGAAAAGACACATTCCAGCCGCTACATTAAATCGCTCTGTCGAACGTCCTGGAAGAGCACTAATTTGTCTTGCTAGAAGACAATTTACGCTTCACGGAGGATCGGTGGCTGGCTCTAATGAGGACACGTAAGGAGCGCATGAAGCAATTATCTCTTAAATATGACTATATCTGAGAATGCATAAAGGGTGTAGTTGGGTTGTCTCCAAAAAGAATGGATTCATATTCGACCGAGACTTCCACGCCAGTATGATGACACCATAAGATCACCACGTGTCCATTAGCTTCATATTACAATGCATTTTGTTGAGGCTGCATTGAACGAAAATGTTTTCTGGTTTGATTTTTTTTTTTATTTTATAGGCTGTCAACATTACATCACTGTCTACAGTTCTACAGTTACTGACAGCTACGAAGCGCAGAGCGTAGCTTATTACTTACATGCCTCTCGCTTCGTGATTGATACTTCGACGTTCTTATTGGCTGATTCGGCAACCTCATTGACTGCGAAGCGATAATGAGATGCGCGGGTCTTGCCACTCCCCTCTTTTTTATTATCTCTCAATGACTATAATGGGAATACACCATCAAAAGACCTTCTTGGTCAAACTACAATAGGCAAATATACAAGGTTAGATTGAAAAGTTTTCGGAATCGCCGCTAGGGTAATTTTTTTTTCAAATTGTTTTTATGTCACAATGTTGGCAACCCTTTTGTGTAGAATGACAACAAATATCAAATCTATATCTCGAAAATTCTAGCTTTGAAAAGCATTCTAGTCCGGCAACCATGAACATTTTTGATGATGGATAAAAACGAAATACGAGTTGTCGCCAAAATATTTTTTTTTGGAGATAAAAACGGCGACGGAAATCAGATTTAGTTTGAATGCTGTTGTTGTGGAATCATCACCATCATTTTTCACCGTGAGTTTCGGAGTTTCCCAAGTCAAATGATGTCGTAGGGAAACAGTGATGAACCATGTTCATGACGTCCAAAAATTGTTACCAGACCAGAAATTCTGATAAAATACATCACTTCGATTTAGAATACCGCCTCATAAAAGTGCGAGAAGTTGAGGGAGCAGCGATAATCTCTTCTGAACGAACTGCTCATATTTCACATAATGAATTGAGATTAAAAAAAAAGTTCTGCAAAATGGGTGCCGCACTACCTCAATCTGGAGCAAAAACGCGTTTGAGCTCGAACGTCAGTCAAGAGTTTGCAAGTGTTTCAGGCAAATCCAAGGGCTTTGAAGCGACGATTTGCAACTATGGTCGAGAACGAGAACCACCAGTAAATCGAATGCACCGGGCCATGTGAATAGGCTCCGACGAAGGCCAGTACCATTCAGTTGGTAGGCAAGGCGATGGCATTAGTTTCATTTAATACGGCAAAAGACTTTTGCTAATTAATTATCTTGAAAATGAAAAAAATGTTCCTGGCCAATACTACATGGCACTTATGAACAAGCTGAAACAAGTAATTAAAAAAACGCCGGGGAATGGTTAAGAACCAGGTGTTCTTTCACCATGACAATGCACGCGCCATTCAAGTGCAGTCGCTTATCAAAAACTGACAAAACTGATGTTTAAAATCCTTCCGCTTCCACCGTGTTCACCTGATTTAAATTGCTCGGACGTCCAACTATTCCCAAAGCTAACGACCGTCTTCGCTGGAATGAAATTTTTGTCGAATGAAGAGATGATGGAGGCTGTGAACAGTTGTTTGGATGATTTAGAAGAATGTCACTTACGGGTAGGAATCAAAAAGCAGGCGAAACATTGGACTAATTGTGTTGAGCTTCGGGGTAGTTATGTCCAAAAATAAAGTATAACTGAAATCAGTTATAAATTGTTTTCAGTTTCATTCCGGAATCTTTTCTTTCTACCCTCGTAGCTTTAGAGAGATTCCTATTATAAAGAATGAAGACAGGCACACGAGCGCTGCAGAGCGCTGTCTTTGGTACGGGTTCATGGACTTAGTGTTCAATTGCTTTGTTTGAGGCTGCACCGAGTGAAGAAAAAAAAAACTGCTGGCTTCCTTTTGGACGTAGGTTGTTCCGTCGACACAGCGTGTTAGAAAGTGTTCGTTCCCTAGCGGCTCCCAGACCCGTTTGGCGTTTCGGTTTTTGGGAAGCGCGGACCGCGGCGCCCTCTCGTTCAGAGCAGTGGACCCCGGACGTGATGTCAGCGCGCAACTCCCCCAGCGATCTGTCCGTCGTGGTGCGCAACCTGAATCCCGTCACCACGTACAACTTTCGGGTGCTGGCCGAAAACTCCCTGGGACACGGGAACCCCAGCGAGGTGGTCAGCGTCATCACCAAGGAAGAAGGTGAGGTGTTTTGAAGGCTACGACCCTTTTTGTCTCTATCTAGTGGCGGATTCCTGGCTGTCTGTTATGTGTAGAGTCATTGTGGCTTGGAACGCTATCCGCTGAGTTTAGAGAGAGAATTTCCTCGTTACATTTTAGCGTAACAAACTATCTGCTCAATTTAGCTGGTAAATTTTTTGTAAGACTGCGACGTCAGGCGATACCATGACGTGGCGTTGTGATGTCACTGCTCGGGATAACATTACGCCGCTCGAAGCTAGAATGTCACGATACGCTGTGACGTCGTCTGACGTCATGGTTAGTTTGGAATGTGATTGTGTGCAGCCTGTGTGCAGCGCTTCGGCAGCCGCCGCAGTGTGTTCGCAGTACACGGCAAGGAACGGGAAGTTTTGCTCTATTTACGCTTTTCCTTATCTTACCGGCATGCCTCCCCTATTAAATATCTAGCATTCTAGGGCACTGCCAGCCTTACGAGGTTGCGAAGTAATATGTCTATTTCACAAAGGTTTCAAGCATATGTTCCGTCAACGTCTTTTTTTTTTTTTTTTGTCCCAAACCGTTTTTGGATCATTTGAATGCTTTTTGATAGGGTTTATGTGCCGGAACATATTTCTGGCAGATTTTATAGTCGGTAGCCAAATGAAATTTAGTCCTAAATTTTACTCAATGCATACATGAAGTTACTAAACATTTTTGATTAATTAATGTTGAGCATTTCCTCAAACTAAAGGATTTAATCACGCGGTCTTCGTTATCAACAAACCATGCTTTATCTTAGTCTTGTTCAAACGATCATTAATGAGAGTGAGGCGGGCGGGCAATCGACCGGAATTTTTGAGAGCTCTTGAATTAAGCTGCTGAAAGCATGGCGTTTGCAATATTAGTGTTCTCATAATTCTTCTCGCTATTTAGACTTAAAACACAGTACAAAGAAACATTATAAGAGAAGGTAGTAGCCTATTTATTCGAAAATATGTCGACCGTTTTATGAACAGATTTGTCTGTCTACTTTCCCATGGAGCCCACAAATTTCAATCATTAAAACTTACAAAAAAAAAAAAAAACAACAACAGCGGATGACCAGAAAAAAAAAACGTTTGAAATAAAGAAAACAAAAAGGAAGGCGATCCACGGGGATCTTATTTTTGAGGTTTGACGTTATTGGTGCCTCGTCATTCGCCAGGCCTCTACCATAAATCGCAGTAATTCACTATTCTTGAGCTTTTTTTTTAATAAAGAGGTCGACCTAATTGCGAATAAATACGATAGTATCTTTTAAAAAATATTATTCCTTGATGTTGAGATTATGCTTGAAATTAGTACAGGCGATCATAATTCTTTATGCATTGACATTATAAAGTTAATTTGTTTGCTCCAATAGACTGTCGGTGTGTTATACGGACGAATGGACGAGACAGCAGTATTGTAGAAAATATCACGTTTAAAAGTGATGGTCAGAAAAATACACCAAAAACGTCCTGTACTAAAACTTCGTTGCGTAAAAAAATAACTTCATAGTTTTTTTTTCCTAACCCAGTGCACGTCGTCACGGGAAGCTTAATATTTTCACAGCTCGATAGGCACGCGCTTTCTAACTCATTATAGAATTGCGAGTTGCCCAACACCTTCTCGGATTGAAGCTACCAAGCTCGAATAAACCGACAAGGACAAATTCGTTCACGCTACCCTTTACCCTTTACGACAGAAATTCAAGTTTCTCGATTAGGCAAAGCATGAACGAGTACCTGATATTTACGCAAGATAGACAGTGATGGATTCGAGCACTAGGCCCGGGCAATCTCCCCTTTTAAAAGTTTGGGTAATCAAACTTCAACCTGACGTTTTCTTAAAAAAAAAAAAAAGACAAAAAAAGACAAAAGTTTGTCACCATACGAGACACTGATTGATAGAAGTTTTCGTGTTTTTTTTTGCCTCAGTTATGCACAGAACGTCAGAAGAGAAAAACAACGACACGTAAAGAGCGAATGTTTGTAAATAGAAGATTGAGTACAAATGTTTTACATTTCTGTCTCGATCCTACTTTCGAATATCATCTTCGATTTTTTAAACCTTTATATCTCAGTATACGGTAGCAGGAACTAAAAAAAAACCACTCATACGAACTTAACAAGTGCATGATGGTACATGAGATAACTCAAATGTCAGCTAGTCTTCAAACAAAACAACTTTTGATGGTTTTGAGATTAGTCGCTCTGTTTTATACAACTTTGAGATTTTGCCCCTTTTTGTGCATCGTCTTTGATAGAAAATAAGCTATTTATATAAAAAGTATTGTTCGTGCGTGTTAGTGTTTGCCTGTTTTAAGGTGATATATATATATATATATATATTTATATATATATATATCAGGGTGTCGAACCGGAACCGAACCGAACCGAAAACCGGAACCGAACCGGTATTTTTTCCGGAACTGAACCCGAACCCGTACCGTTATTTTGTCATCGCGATGAACCCGAACCGGAACTGAACCGGAAAAAAAATAACGGTTACCGGCTCATGTCAAGACGGTTCGGCCACGCGCTGTTGACAATGAATGTGCTATCAATGCCTTTTGTTTTTTTAAGTGCCGTCAACTGACACACACCTCGCTTACATATTTTTCTTCTCCACTCAGTCTTAGGAATATAAACGCTGCATCCATGAATGTTGACAAACGCTGCATCCATGAATCTTGACATAGGGACCAGTATTGCGCTGGTCGCGGCTTGCACGGAAGAAAGAGGATTGAAAGGCTGTGCAAAAAAAAAAAAGAAAAAAAAAATTGCGTCACGGGATTTCATTTTCCTACAATCTCGTAAATCCTAAAGGCTGCTGTGTGCTCATTTCATAACACGTTTCTAGAACGTGATGTTGCAATTTTTATTTTTTTATTTTGACATTGCAATTTGTCACTTATAATTTCCGAACCGGTTCGCGAACCGGTTCAGCGCCCCGAACCGGTTCGCGAACCGGTTCGCGGATCGAATTAATCGAACCGGAACTGAACCGGAACAAAATAAATTTACCTGAACCTGAACCGTAACCGAACCCCTATTTTTTTCGGTTCGACACACTGATATATATATATATATATATATGAACCGGGTGTTTTTTTTTATTCTTGCAGATTTGTTTTTAAAAAAAAGCCGTGAAAGCTACACTTATGCGGTTTGTGCGAGTGAGTTATACGCCCAGGGGGACATTATTTGGGTGGCATATCTTTGCGATAAGTCGAATTATTAATTAAAATTTACTAATTAAGTTCTTTAATTAGTGAAAATAAAGGTGTGCTTCCAATTATAAACTTGCTGAGCGTCACCCAAAACCCTTAAATCAGTCATTTTTAAAAAAGACTTTGAGCGCGTGTGAAGCGCAGTAGTGCGCTGAAGTTACCATTCGTGAAGCGGGTACAAGGCTGGGGCTAGATAAAAGACGGAAAAATTGCGCGGGCGCCTTACCGAAACCACTAGTCTTGTACCTGCTCCAAAAGTGGCAACTTTAGTGCACTACTACGCTTCTCACGCGCTGAAAGTCTTTCTAAAAATGACTGATTTAAGGGTTTCGGACGACGCTCAGCAAGTTTCTAATTGGAACCATATGTCTATTTTCGCTAATAAAAAGTTAATTAGTGACTTTTAATTAATTACCCAACTTATCGCAAAGATTAGCCACCCACATAATGTCAGCCAGGGCGTGTAACACCCTCGCACAAACCGCATATGTGTAGTTTTTATGGCTCTTTTTTAAAACAAATCTGCAAGAATAAAAAAGAAAAACACCCTGTATATATAGTAAGAGAGAGAGAGAGGGGGGAGAGATATTGAGTTCACATAATTTATTCACGAAAGAAAAAACATAAAGCCAGAAACTCCTTCAAAAATTCAAACTTGCGAGTGAATATTATAACTCAGTTTCCTCGTTTTTTTTCGCTTTATTTTTGTTTAAACACAGGGTTGTTTTTAGCAGGGTTTATCTTTACCACAGATTCAGTGTTTGTGGGTGACTTTGTTCAATACCGGGAAAAACGTTGGGATAAATGTTAAAGAAAACAGAACACAGAAGAAGTGTTCCCCAAGTTAAAAAACAAAACAAAAAAACATGCCTGTGACCCGAATATTAGAAAAGCACCCAGTACAGATAAGATACAGATAAGGGCGGGCTGTGTTTTCAGTCAACGCAACATAAAGCTATAAATAACAAAAAAATTCAGTAATTTTTTTTTATATTATTAAAACACACCTCTAGTCTTTTTTCCGCCATTTTAATGAAACCGGCGGGGGCGAATATTATTGGGGGTTTATCGTCGTATACGAAAGATGCAAAACCCTTTTAGGGGCGAAGCTCCTGAGGGGCTAGCCATGTCCGTGTTTCCGTCCGCCCTCGGGTGCACGTGCTCCTGCTCGTGAGCTCACGTGCTCACGAGCACGTAAGAACGTGCTTCCGTGCTCGTGTAGGGCAAAAAAGAAATAACCGCATCTCCACGTGGTGAATGATGTTGATTGGGGCGAAGCTCTTGTGGTGCTTGTCTGCGTAGATGGTGAGCCGCAGCATGCCGAGCCTTTCGTTCGTTTTCATCCATGTCAGAAAGAGAATGTGTGGTATGGAACGTGGTTATATACGCGTTTGAGCATTTGACCGCAGCGTGACATGGATAAAAACGAACGAAAGGCTCGGCATGCTGCGGCTCAGCGTCTACACAGGCAAACGCCACAGAGCTTCGCCCCAAATCAACATCATTCACCACGTGGAGATGCGTTTTTTTTTTTTTTTTTTTTTATAACACGCTGGTTAGAAAGAAGATGGTTTAATATTCTGTAGAATTGCTTGTCTATTAAAACTAGTGTAAGTGTTTGATACTAAGTTTTGCCTAAATAATATTACATATTTTCATCTATAAGGAGCAGTAAACGGTACGATATATTTATGTCTCAAATATGGCGCAGTTGGCGCTGTATCTTAGACAAAGCATTGAGACTTACACCAAGAAAACGTTTTGGTTTTATAAAAGGAAGATAAACAGGCGACATTACTTATTAAACACTAAATAAATTGCAGAAAAAAAGTATCTGTAGTCAGTGATTGAGCCCTCATTACGCGTAGCACGATTTATCTGAGAAAACAATTTACCTAAACAGTTAATATGAGAGGAGTGTGGCGCCACCTTCTATGCGTGTACGGAAGCTTGTGCACTAGGTAAAAAGGAAGCATTTACGTTAATATTTAAAGTGGGAATCAGTCATTTTAACTTCTATTCGTAACCTAGTATTTTCTGCACGATCGTGCACAATGTATTTGAATACCGTACAACATACGGGACATTTCTTACGTTTTACAGGTAGTGTATTGGTTTCGAGATAATTTAGTTTGATTAAATACGAACGGCTGATACCGCTCCCGCCATCTGGGGTCCTTGTGACCACTCACACTCCCGCCATCGATTTCCTGAAAAAGTTCGTGGAGCAGCACCAGATGGCAGTGGCCGCTGCGACGACGGATATCGATCGATCCAGGAAAGTTTGGAAATGTGAAAGTCGGTCATGCGTTAGAACTGTTGATGCGTGTGGCTGCACACAGAGGGCGACACTTTGCTAGAAGTTTGAAATTTAAATAAAATTTCAAGAAATAAGCTGTCCGAAATGCGGTATATAATCAATAAAAAATATAGCGGACTACGACAAACAAAGAGCTCAAATGCAAAAAAAAATAGATATATAAAGAAAGCAACGCTTACCAGTTTTTAAGGGGAAATTTAGAATCATACAGACTAATTAATCTGCCGACAGTTCCGATTGCGATATGTGGTCACTAGGTCTTAGAAGAAATTATCTAATGATTTAGAGGGATTTCTCATGAGAGAATCTACAATGGCTCTTCATTGAATATCGTATACAACAATAGCTAAGAAGTCATTTATCACGGATGCGATGATATTTAAACACCCGTGGGTGCGCTTTAATCAGTCTTTCCGTGTATTTTATTCCCAGCACCCAGCAACCCGCCAACCGAGATCCAAATCGAACCGACAAGTTCCAAGTCCATAAAGATTAAATGGAAGGTAAGTCGGACAACGCACGGACAGCGTGGACACCTTCGCACTAGCCGTCAATATATGTTTCCCCTCATGGTTACCCTTACTGCGGGGAAGCACCCTTTACAAAGCAGTTGCATTCGACAGTTTTTAAATCCATCGCGACTTTCAAGGAATACCAATGCTCGATAAAAGTGTGAATGGAAGAAACTGGGAGGCAGCAACATGAAAGAAATATTGATTCTAGCTGAGTCACGTCACGTGCTATCTTTATTTGATGGACGAAAATTACGCGGACACCAATCGCGACCGGCATATTATATTAGTAGATTTATGTACCTCTGAAATGTTGTCGTCAACGCTCCAAGCAGTTCAGCGCTCACTATATTTTTCTCGAACGATTGAAAATCAATATAAACTGTTGCCTTGGCATGGACGTTACGATAAAATAAAAACGGGTAAATGAATAACTTATCACAAGGCCTGGTTTGACCTTTCAGGAACGCTAACTTCTCGTTAACTCCCTTCAGCTGCACAGTTTCTTCGCGTACAAGACATCTAAGGAACCGACCGCGACATGCCATTGGATACGCTTGCGAATTATGTACATACTGAGATATTTAAGCGCGTTGATGAAATATTTACATGTGAACTAAACGAAAGTAAGCAAGTGAGGATCACAAAAGACAGTTGTATCGTGTGGGGTTCTACCTCGTATCTAACTCCTTCCTTTATATGTCATGGATGTTTTTTTTTTTAATTTACATATCCTAACTGTACGAAGGAGGGTGCCAAATGAAATTGTTTTTAATGTCCGATACAGCGATTGTTTGCTTTTTCACTTGTTAAGTACATGTGACGTGTTTGTGACAAGTACGCAATCACTAGACACCACACCACACGATACGCTGCATAATTAAATGATTCAACACGATGAGTTCCTGATTATCACAGAAAATAGGCTAGGTGATATAGGTGAATAGGCAACCAATAGCCAAAATGCAGGGTGAAATAATGAAGAGTTAAAGATAATAAAAAGGAAATACGTTATCGAAATGGCTTCAGAGCTACCTAATATATGGCGGAAAAGCGCCGGCATGTTAACCGGTTACAATGCAACGAGACACCATCGAGCGCATTCAAATGCAAATGTGTGAGCCAACCTTCAGCAAGTACCGATGATTGGGAGAGCCGATGTTCAAAGGCCTCCGACGCCGTGGTTGCATTTGTAGTTGCGGGTCTTTCGTTCCTCGTGTCTTTGCGCTGCCGTGCATTTGTCGTGCGTCCATAAACCCGGCAGCTTATTCATTGTTCCGTGTCCCCAGTTATATGTAGGGATGTACGGATATCGCTTCGGATCGAATAACGCTGTGTCATTTCTAGATTCAGCAGGATAAAAACAGCCGGAATACAGTGTCTTTTTTTCACTCGTAAGCTTTTGAGTGATGCAGCGCTCTGCAATTTGGACACTGTTCTCAGATGTAAACTAGTCGCTCAAATTTCGAAAAACTTTTAAAAGATTCTGATTTATTACCACGTAGCTTAACTTCTAGCGAGAGTCACGATGGCTATGTAGGCCAGTTGGTTCATGATGACAAAAAGGCAAGCAGTGCACAAAAGAACAAGGACCGGATAACAGCAGCTTAATGCCGAAGGATGTACAACTTCTATTCTCGTATTGGGTCTCGCTTTTGATACGGCTTAAATAACGTCTCGGCTTTCTTTACGCAGGCACCTCCCTCTGAAGAGCGGCGCAGTCCGGTTAAAGGCTACTACTTGGGCTACAAGCTCCACCGCTCCGGCGAGCAGTACGTTTACAAGACGCTCGAAAGCGCGAGGAATGGAGAAATCGAGGAGTTCTTGCTGAGCAACTTGCGGCGCAACACGGAGTATTCCATCCGACTGCAAGCTTTCAATTCGGCTGGTTCAGGGCCGGCCAGTGAAGAGATCGTCGCTAAGACTCTCGAACACGGTGAGGAGTTCAAAAACTCTCTCCTTTGTGTAGCCGCTTTAAGCAGCTGCGCACGGGCGTAGCCGTAACTGGCCTTCAGTGTTTGTTTCTTTTTATTATGTTTAGTTCACTTCATGATTACCACAACAGAACGGTTCGATACCATATTTGATTCGGCCGTGTGATTTTCTCCGACAATGAACTTTGTGGAGGCTCGTTAGCGCCCGTTTGAGGGGCTTGACATCTTGGGAAGACAAAACAAGGTCAGCAATGGCGGCTGAAATTTGCCGCGTGTGTAAAGCGTCTATAGTTCTATGAATATATACGAGAGAACCAGGCATAAAATGGCGAAAATAAAGAGCTGAGCCGGATTTATTCCGATACGTTGCGCTTTTCAGGGGACAGTTAAGAGTAACGCTCACTTTTCCTTACGTTTTTATTTTAAATTAGCAGTGCATCTGCGTAAACCGCATCAATTGTTACTCGCGTTGCGAGGCGGGATTGCACTGTATAAGGCGGACCATTGTTTATAGCTGAGTGATAAGACGAATTTCATTGGCGATTGAATAATTACCCTATATGTACTTATAGAAGAAATGTGATATTTTTAATATTTAACATTTTAAAGGTTCACGTCAGCTGTTTGCTGTATCATTTATTTGTTTCACAGCCTCGAAAACTGGGTCACTTGATTTCTGTTTGATTACCGTTAAAGTTTTTCCAGTACTTTAGATGATATCTGGCTCTTTTTGCCACTAAACAAGTAGTTGTTACTTGCTTTTAGAGTATATAACTGACATTTTGCCCTATGTATATTTTAAATAGGAAAGGAACATTAGGTTACAATAGCCACCATCCATGGGAACAGCATGAAAGCCAATAAATAATTTTGCGATTCAGGTATCTTTATTAGGCAAAAAGAGATAACTATACTCGTTTCACCCCAAGAACCGTAGTAAAAAATGTCCTGGTCCTCACAAAACATCACTAATTGTCGCCATTATTTTGAGAATAAATATTATGTAGGTATATTTCAGACGAGATATATATTAGTTCATCTAGTAGTACATGTTTCAGACGCCAAAAGCAACGCTTCTTCCTCCGACAACTAAATCTTGTAAGAACTATTTCGTGCGGTGTATGAACATTATGAAAACTTGTTTTCATCCTTCAGGTTAGAAGGAATATACTTTCCGGCGCATAAATACAAGAGACTGTAGGCAAAACCTAACAACCTTTATTTCTAAATTAGTTAACCAATGGACAAATGACTAGCGTTTTATCTTTATGATAAGACAGCCCGTTATGAAGCATTAAATATATATATATATATATATATATATATATATATATACAGTATATTACTATAAAAATAACTAGTACTCTATAAGCCTCTGTACAAGAAAATTCTGGTACATAGAACGTAGTGCAACGTTAAAATGCGCAGGTTATCCACCCTCTTTCCAACTGCGTTGCAGTAAGCGTGCGAGGTTATTATCGTCTCTTCGGAGTCTAGCAGCAGCTTTTCCATTAGGCCGCACCCGCAAAATTGCGAGAAGTTTCCTAACGGCGCCTCGGCTATCGGCTTCGTGCGTGTACTTCGATAGCGGCTTTTGTCCCCGGGCGTCTCGGCGCTATGCATAATGGGCACTCGCACACTGCTAATAATAATACACTTTGATTTTTCTAGAACAAAGGGAGAGTCGGAAGAGTCCAGCGGCTCGAGCGGAAAACTAATAGGCGTGATGAGATAACTTTATTGTGCCACTATTCTTTGAAAGGCTTTCGAAACTCGCACGTATTTTGCCTGTTTACTTTTTCGGTCGCAGTTTTTTAGTTCCCATTATGTGAGGGTCTCTTCAGGACGCTTATTATTAAGCGCAAAAGGTATTAGGCAACGTAGATTTTTTTTTCACTTTTGTTCTGTATTCTACCGATGACGTTAACGCGGGTTTTATGCTTTTGTTATTCTTGTCGATACTGATGTTGAATTTAATATTCTTTGGCGTAGATTGTCTTCTACGCTGTGGGTAATGTAGAATAAAATTCCCCAAGTCCCGTCATTTTATGCATTGAGACAAACATGTTTTGTAGATTTACAGCAAGAATGAAGACACCGAAAATAAAATTTGGAGCATAACTCTATATTCTAAATGGTTTAAAACACATTTGAAGCAATAGAGCTTTGTTCATGAAGTTACAACTTTGTAATAAAAGGTGACTGTGATGAAATAGGCAGTTATTGCGTTTGTTTTAAGACATGGTGTTTTATTAAATTTTTTCAGATCCTCCGAGCCCACCCTCAATTAGGGTGCAGTCCACCACGGCAACATCTGTGCACTTGGTTTGGGAGCCACCCGACATACCTGTCAATGGTGCGTATAAGAAACAAAGCGAAGAAGATAAATATTTTTTTCCGAGTTAATGCTTAGACTTAATTTATTAAGTAAAAAATATGTGATGTATACGAAATTTGTCAAACGGTTGCAGCGTATTTTATTCTGAAAATATTCAAAACGCTTAACCTAATATATATATATATATATATATATATATATATATCAGGCCAAATAAGGGACTCTAAAAAACGAGTAATCTCACTGAAATTATCTAGCCAAGTATAATTTTGAAACCCGCTCAAACGAGGCGCACCATTTTTGTTTTAGCTGAAAAAAAAGTAAACGCAATTAGATGTCTGAAAGAAGACAAGCAAGTTCAAGTTAAAAACGCGAAAATAAGTGAAGTGTATTGAATCTTCAAAAATTTAATGAAGTAATACTTCTAAACCGAATTAAGTAGTTAGAACATATTCTCACAAATGCCAGTTGAACAGGTAAAAAAAAATGAACTAAAAATTGAATGGAGGCGAACTTGTGTCAGAAACGAAAAAGGAAAAGAAAAGACGTCGACAAAGCAGCAGCGAGTCTCGGCGGCGGCAGCAGCAGCAAGCGACGGTGCGTCGGTGTAACAGCTGGACATCGCAAGGGGGAATCAGTGATCGAATCAGCGATCCGGCTCTCGGATCTTTATCTACTATGCTTGTCATCTCAAATATTCGATCTAGATTGTTAGGGAAAGAGTTAGAGCGAGAGCGACTGACTGGACAAAGCCATTCTGGCCTCCTTATAATTTATTCTCGGTGTAAGAGTGTACGCGAAGCTTTTAGAAGAACAAAGAAGCGTGTCTTCTCGATCATACACGTGGCATTATGTTACGATTTCAAATTTGTCATTAGGAGAATTTATGACTAGAGCAGGATATGGGGTACAGGTAGGCGTTATCTTGTGGCTAAAAAGGACAGGCTTTTTTGTGGTGAATGGAAATAGGTTTCATGACTAATATATTTATTTCATTTATTTATTTATTTATTTATTTTGAATATCCTCAAGGCCCGAGGCATTACAGAGGGGAGTGGGGGTTTGTAAGACGATTAGATATAACTCTCCGAAACAAGGTGCCGTCGCTGATGGTGACGATATTCTCCGGAAGGTCGTTCCAGCTCACTATGGCGTCCGGAAGGGCAGAATAAAGGTAGGCTGTTGAGTTGCATTTGGGCCAGGCTATCTTGCAGGGATGATCAAACCTCGAAGAGACGTAAGCAGGCGGGTGAAGCAGAGAGTGATGTAAGGGTGGGTGGCACTAAATATTGTGCGGAAGACAAAGACGGGAAATGTTACGACGAACAGAAAGACTGGGGATGTCAAGCTGGGCTTTCATGGCAGACACACTGAAGAAACGTGAGTAATCAGACAGAATGGAACGAACGGCGTAATTCGGGACAGACTCCATTTTGTTTGCTGAAATAAGTTGATGAGGTCTCCAAATCGAAGATGGGTATTCTAATTTAGGGCGAACAAAGGTAGCATAGAGGAGACGTTTAAGGACAGGAGAGGCAGACTTAAACTTGCGGCGTAAATATCCTAAACTGCGGTTAGCCGATGCTATGATAGTAATAATATGAGTATGCCAGGAGATGTCAGAAGTAATATGAACACCTAGATACCTATGAACAAAAGGTAAGGGCGCAAACGAGCTGGGGTGGTTAAACATTTCGACAAAAACCCCGAGACTGGGACAAAAAGGGGACGGACAAACACAAAGTCTCAAACACAGCTCTGTGTTTGAGACTTTCTGTTTGTCCGTCCCCTTTTTGTCCCAGTCTCGGGGGTTTTGTCGAAATGTTTAGATACGTATACTCATTAGTACAAGTAAGGGCTGTACCGTGAAGAGTGAGGTTCGGCTGGGGGCAAGATGGAGAACGAGAGAAACACATGCATTTACATTTATTAATATTGAGAGTCATCGGCCACGTAAGGTGCCAGTCGGCTATTTTAACGAGATCTGTCTGTAATACTAGGGAGTCATTGAGTGTTGGTATTTTTCTGTACACAACACAATCATCAGCAAAGAAACAAAGAGAGGAAAGAATGTGAAGTGGGAGATCATTTATGTATATTAGGAAAAGTAGAGGCCCAAGGACCGTTCCTTCAGGGACGCCAGAAGTAACAGGAGTGGCAGTGGAAGTTGTGTGGTTAGCATAAACAGACTGAGATTGATCAGATAGGAAAGAAATAATCCACGCGAGTACTTGAGGGGCAGTGCTAAACGTCGATAATTTATGAAGTAAAAGGTTATGTGGAACCTTATGAAAGGCTTTGGCAAAATCAAGAAACACAGCGTGAGTAGGATAACCGGAGTCCATATTCTGAAAGAGGTCGCTAGTAAGGCAGGTAAGTTGGGTCTCACAGGATAGGGACCCGCGAAAACCATGTTGAGAGCCGCAGAAAAAGCTGTTTGAATCTAGGAAGGTATGAAGATGTTTGATAATAAAGATATGAAGATATTTGAAGATTGATAACTTTCAGGAATAATCACTCATTATGACTTCGAGTTTCGGAAGTCACCGAAGATAGTAAGTTTTTTCTACAGTGAACAAAAGAAGAAATATGACCCCGGTTTCTCGAATCGCATAAATAGTGTACACATCGCAGAAAGGTGAAGATATATACAATTGTGATTCTATGGGTGTTGATAAAATGCTAATGTTCGAAACCATAATACTGCGAAGTCAAAAGAATTTTAAAACAAAATCTCTCTCAACCCGTTGACGTCTACAAAGGAATAATATTCATCCAACAAAGAAATGACAGGATGCGCTTTCTATGGGGTTTATTTCGGTAAAAATGCTTAAGGAAAAAGGACAAGTTTGTTCCTTTCTCGCTGACAAATTTCTTTTTCGTTAATATAAATTTCAAAGGCGCCACCTTCCGCCCTACAATAATAAACCTAAGTGAACGTCGCCTCATAAAACAAAAATGCGTTGTATATATTTTGATCCATGGAATATTTCAATGTTAAACTGTCGCATCGTATACCTCGCCTGGCGTCAGACTTTCGGTATCATTCAGCGTTCTACGAAGCGTCGTATAATTATACGAGAAAAACAGCTTTATTTCTCTGGGGACGCTGAAAAATAAATGAATATTCGAAATCACATCCACAGGAAAGTGATAGCGTACATGATTTTCGAAAACAATACGATTCAGGTGCGTGTGTCTTGGAACAAACAGCGGGTTTGTACTCAAAGGGCGTACCCCAGTAACCCCTAAAGATGAACGTTTTTGCCCTAGGGATGAACGCTTTAGGGATCAACGATTTCTAGGGATGAACGTTTTTGTTCGCCGTTTTCACACCTTCAACCCGAGAACGTGTTTATGACACTTTCAGACGCTTTCCAGGTTCACTCAAATACGTACACTGGATGTGGAAGCGACTGCATTCGGAACCAACTGAACAGATGCGGTGAAGTACACCGCGTTGTCGGGTGTCCAACGGGCTTCACTTCGCGTTGTCTTGCGATGTCCCGCAGCAAACGCCACGAGCCCTAGGAGCTAGCGCTGTGTCGTGTGTCGCGTGGCCCTCCGGATGGGGTTGCAGCAACCAGGCGGGACGCGGTGCCACGGGAAGCGCTTACTACGCTGGATTGGCTAGGACGACTCAGCGTTTGTGGCGGTCAGGCGTAAAACCGCGGTCACTGCTTAACACATCAAACAAAATAGAATCTGCACACGCCGTTTTGATGCGGCATATCCCGAGCAACAAACATGTTACAAGCATGAAACATGGTTGGGAGATGTTTGATGCGTCATCGCAGATAAGACTCTCCCAATGTCTACAGTGAACACAGTATATTTTCTACGATGTCCGAGTGGTGCGATAGCAGATTTAGGTGAAACAATGTATGCCAGCTGCCAGTTATGGAGACACACCGCATGTCGTGTCGTGTCACTTCGAAAACGTTAGCGGAGTTACTGTGCGCTTTTTACCAACGCCTGCATAACTAGTTCTTCTTATAACCAACCCCGTGAATACCAAAACGCAACGTTCCGCGGTAGGATCTCATTCGTTGCTGCAAACAAACGTTGATTCCGATTTGAAGGAAACGATTAGCACCGTATGGCTACGACAGTGGATCCGCGAAATGGCACATTCAGGATTTTTGTGCAAACAGAGTTTTCTTTTATTCTTCTGTTCAAAATGTTTTAAAAAGTGATAGCTTCATATAATAAGCCCCCTCGTGGCTTCGTTGTCTGTGTTGGTTTGACCGGACGACGCCACAATGTCAGTTGACACAAATTGTTTCGCTAAATTTAGCGGGGAATTTCACCTTCACGGTTTCGAGTTGTGGTTTCACGCGACAAAGTAAGGTAACGTGACATCAAATTTCCCGCTAAATTTAGCGGCGAGATTACTATGTTAATGCGTAACATGACGTCCTGTGACCTCACGGTGCCACGTAACGTCACGTGTTACGTGACGTCACGCTGTGACTTGGGCTCTAAACTCAGGGAAAAATATTTTCGCAAAACCTTCTAAGAAAGGGCTGCTCCTAAAAAACACACACACACACATTAAGTGGTATTGAACTTCTATTAGATTGGACAAAATGTCTAACCCAGGCAATGTCTATAACTTTATATTTACCTGTACTCTTCTGGTGTACTTCAAGAATTGGCCTCCCGCCTGCTACGCCGAGAAAATAAAGGTTAAAAAAGAATACGTGAGGTGCATAATATTGTAACCAAGTTGTTTCTTAAATCTCGCCATCATGGAGACTTGAAGGTGTTCAAAGCAGTCCCGTAATCTTTCGTTTTCCTAATAAATTGTGCTTGGTGTTTAAATTTACAGGGTACGTTCTGCACTACAAGGAGGATCAGAACGACTGGGTGAAGCAGCACGTTCCCGGAACGCAGCAGAGCATCGTGTTGGAGCAACTGCGTTGCGGAACCCGCTACCAACTCTACATGGAAGCCTTCAACGACGCGGGCAAAGGAGACCCCACCCAAGTCCTCAGCGTCAAGACAGAGGGAACGGGTAAGTGCTGAGCTTAATGAAGTAAAGTAATTGTGTCATGTGATTTTTTAGGCAACGGGGAGCTAGTCAGCCCCATAGTGGGTGTCCGGTATTTCCGCTGTAGACGAGAAATGTAGGCAGCGCGGTTCACGCTGCTAGCTTGGGGTGTTCAGCGTGGATCACGCAGTAGTGATGCAGGATCGCGCGCCGGTACGACGTTTATAAAGATCGAAATGGGCATGGGTGGGAATCGAACCCGGTACCTCTTGGTTCTGCGGCGAGAGCTTTGGTCAGACTTGCACGTAGCGAGCAACGACTAACGCGCTACTTGTATCTAGTTACTTTTTAAAGTAACAAGGTAACAAATTTTCAAGAAAATAAAGGAGTAAAGTATTGTCGTTACTTGTTGACTGAGTAACGCGATGCACTATTCAGTTACTTCCGGAGAATAACTTATCCAACACAACTTCGTTTGGTTTTCACCTCTGATTTCGCCTGTGATCTTCATGGCGAGAAAGAGTCAGAGAGACTATAAAAAAATAATAATGTCCGCAAAGTATGACAGAATAGCTAGGTACGTCGCCGCCATCTGCATACCTATTATTGAGTTCAAAAACGATGCAATATTTGTGACAAAAAATTGGATAGTTACTTCTGCATAAAGAAACGAATAATTCAGGGTGCCGAGAGTGTAATCCGTTATATCTAAGCAAAAGTAACGGGTTCTTTTTTTAATCTCAGTAATTAAGGAGTAAATTATTAGGTTACCCTTTGAGTGGATAACTATTAACGGTGTTTAGTTTCTTCTTTTTTTTTTCGGTAATATGTACATGTTTGGCTGTGGTTCGCCAAAGTAGTCGACCCACCCCTGTAATACTCACCACTAAAAGCGTGCGACAAGACGGTGGCGCCACGGTGTGGCGCATAGCGGCAACGTTTCGCATTGAACTCTGTCGGACTGACATAGACATCCTGGGTAGTAGCCAACCTTAGTTTCTAATTTAATGTCAGCTTTCCCGATCACAGCGCTATACGAAACGTTCCGTAGCGAAATCGGCGCTAATGTTGTTTTTTTTTTTTTTCTTTTTCTTTGTTACACGAGGTAAAGAAATTGGGAACACGACCCCCTGCACGCGCTGGCTAAAAGCGCGACGATCATTTACATCCCAGCACGTAATATCGATTCGCCCGCGAGCGAAGAACCGTCTGATAATAAGAGGAACTTCTTCTCATGTAGATTTCATCAATTACTGGCACTGGTGAATGTCGTCCCGTAATGACCTCCAAACCGTCGAACACACAAAGGCTTCGCTAAGGCCTATGCGGGCGCAGATAAACGCAATAACGTGGCGTTGTGTTGCCGTCGTCGCCGCTCAGACAGACGCTTCGGCCGCATTAGAATAGGTCGGAGCGGGCGGTGCTTGGCTACAGTGGTTTTAAAGGAGTAATGCAGCGGCCGCGGAGCTTCGGCCGTGCATTGGGACCGGCCGGCGCTTGAAAAGCCGTGACGTCACAATGTAGGGGGCGCTCCGTTCTTGAGCACGTCGACGTCTTCTGCCCCGCGAGCAGCAAAAGTAGTGACAAGCGCGTTGCCGGGTCGTTTGGGGCGCCGTAACAGCGCTTCAGTTTTTTTTTAATGCCTCACTGATTTTTATAATTTAGGTCAAATGAACGGACGATGACGGGGCTTGTTATGGTGATAATGCAATTAATGCAAAGGTGCAAGCGCGCATCACCGCAAGTACCACTGAAAAAACAACTACAAAGACACTTGAGACCGCTAACGTGTCCGAATGCGAAAGCATTTGTATACGTAGCGTATTCCTACAAGCTGCGCGCCGCGCTGAGCTCGGCTGTGTGGCCTCTCCGGCCTGTGCCCGGGCGGGCTCTGCTCTACTGAATCTGCGGCCGGCCGCTCTCTCTTACCGGTGGCCGAGCCGCTGCGCCATCTTGGAGGGGGATTCTCTGTGGAGTGGCGTTTCTTGGAAGAACGCCGCTCGCCAGTCAACGGGGTGACTGCTACAGACTGCAGCCTTCGCTCCATGGGATAGGGAAATTCAGGCGCCGTTTGGGGCGGCTTCAAAAGCTGATAATACCGGTTCGTTCCATGGGACAATTAATGCTTTTGCACTAAAACGAAATCCCAAGCACGCGCCATGAAAAAGTCGTGATAGTCGTTTTTTTTTTTTTTTTTTTTTTTTTTTTCGCAGAGTGCAGTTGTTTGTTTAAATTTATTGTTTTCGCTAGTCAGCAGTTGCTACATTTCCAAGTTGCTAATGCCTGATCGATAACTGTTGCATTTGCTACGTTCACCCTCGCGCGATGGATATCCGATTATTTCATCTGATTTTCGCGAATTATACGGCGTGCAAGTTGGTCCGCTCCTTGCGTACCTCGTGCGTTTGTGTACCCCCCAAAAGCGCTGCACATCTGCAAGTGATGCGAGTGTTTCAAGTGATGCAAGTGATGGCGCATGCAATGCGACACAATTATTTATATTTTGATCAGCTACACAAATAGAAATAGCGTTACTTTATTTATGCAGCACTTCATACACTAAGTGAGGAGGTTTTTTTGAAGCTGGGTGAGAGATGTGAACTCATCCTAGAGTCCGAAAGTCAGATATGTAAAATTATTTATCCCAGTTTCTGCTGCTCTGCATCGCTGTGCCTTTGGGCTTGCTCGCTTCTTCTGTAGCTCACAATAATCTTGCAAGAACTAACCAGAAAAAAAAAAATTGTTTTTGGGGACCATTCAAAAGTTTATTTTAAAAAAAAAGTGTAAACGTCGAAGGTTTCTCACTTACTCCATGCGCAGTGGTAGATGACTATTTTAAAATATGTGATAAGGAAATTAAGTTTCCTTCGCAATTTTTACAGTTGTGATTGGTTTTTCATGCAAAATGAACAATTTTCTTTTTACAGCTACTGTGCGCGAGTTTTTTTTTTTTCTGTTCCTTGTTTTCATCTTCATTAGTTAGGGATCCGATACCCAGAATTATAAGTAATCTATTATCCTTTCTTGTTCACCTTGAACCGCTCAGATTACTGATTGCTAGAAAAAAAAGCAGTGTTGATAGGGCGTACACGAAACCATAAGTAATCTGAAAATAGACGATAGAAAGTTAATCAACCTGGGACTGTTTTATCGATCCCCATTTACTTCTACAAGGCATTCACGCAGCCACAAGGTGTGTAGTTTGGCATCGGGTTATATATTATAATGAAGTAATTAAAATGTGGTAGAAACCCACGTTGTAAAATTTCTTACCGGACATATTTGCCAAAATGCTTTTATTGTCAAGCCGCCATAATGTATATTGGCTACCATGTAATTGTTTTCGGCTACGATTCGGGTTTCGGCTATCGACAAGTCGAAATTCAAGTTTTGTTCGGGTTACGCCTGCCAAAAAAATATCGCTATTTAACTGTTTTCTCTCGAGCTCTGCGGACCTTTGTTCTGTTTTAAGTAACTCATTTGTTTGCATAGATTAGTGGTTGTATTTTTTCAGTCAAAATTATCTGGAAAGCACTCGTGTCTTACCTTATTGTACCGTTTTATTTATCAAAATATTTGTTCATTTCATCTTAGTTTAAGCCTAACAGATAAGCCTCCGTGTGTACCCCACGATATGTATAGTGATTTACTATATTACATTGTTCACTTTACCCGGTGATGTTAAGCGCCTGTGCATATCTTTTGATTTGTTTCATCATCTTGTCACAGTAATTAGCAATAATTATGCGTACGTGTTTAACATATTATTACATATATATACGTACATTTTGCATAATAAATAAGAACGGTATAAATTTTAATTTCTACAATTTCTCCATCGCGTTTATTTTTTTGTCGCGGTACGTTGCAAGATACAACAGTGGCTGTGTACGGAGCCAGTTGACAAACTAATTACAATAATCCACTGTTAACACTGTTCAAATGTGCAATATCAAGGCCATATAAAAATAGATTGTGCATTTTTTGCACGTACCGTCGCTAAAAAGCATTCACAGAGAGGGTTATCGGTGCACAAGAAGAGTATAGAAGTGGTAGACCTACATTCTTTACAAGAACCAATTGGAAGCGAAGACCTAAATAACGTCTGTTGACACGCCGGATGAATAAACATGCAAAACCCTGTCATCTGTCACCAGGGCCGTACCTACACCAACAAGCGCCTTGGGTGACCTCAGTCCGTGCCACCCCTCCCCCTTCCTTCCATTTTTATACGCCAATATTTACAAAGTGCGTTATCACGTTAATATTACACATATGAGTAGTGTTCTGTCATACGAGAACCGTCTTTCCAAAAAAACTAACGGCGACCGAGCATATAGCGGAGTGCCGGGCGCCGTGTTCAAATAAAACGAAAAACAAAACAAAAACAAAAAATACATGAAAGAAAATGACAAGATTCCCCAAGCGACGGCATAGGTCTCCCACCCTTAGGGCCGTGGCCCTCTTTATCACGACCACCAAGGGCCTCAAGTCGCCGTCTCGTCTGCTCGGCACGCGTTAAAGTGCTTAGGTAACACCACTATCAAGTTGAAACATGTGTTAGAGCAAGGTTCATGATCATGGCTCTCCCTAACGATCACAGGCCATCAACAGAACACCACCAACTGCAGTTGCGCAAGCAGAGCGACGACACTCGCAACACCGTCGGCTGCTGCGAATTTGTCGCAGAGACCGAGATGCGGTAAAATTCCTAGATAAGAGCTTCCTATAAGTAGCGACATTCTTTGAAGCGCCGACTTCGTGACGGTGCAGGTTGTGCAAGTCTAAACTGAATGACGCGATTTTGTTCCAGCAGAAAGTGCTTTGTCATTTGTATTGGTTTTTGTTACAACTACAAGAAGTATTAAGGGACTTAAAGATGCAGCATGCACTAGCGCCGCCCCTCGGCCGTCTTCCAGCGCGCCGCCGCTCCTCCAGTTTTGTTCGCTAAGCCACTGCAGCTCCACTATGCGACGTAATGTGGACACTGTCGCTAGTGGGCGCTGCGATCCGGCTGCCGAGGAAGAGCGGCGCGCCCTCTATACTTGTCGCACGCACGCAAAAGTCGGTGACAGGTTAATAAAGTGGAAACAGGTGGGAGGAGCGTCTCCTGAACGCTTAACCTGTCGCCGACAATAGACGCTTAGTTTGACGGCTTTACAATGAACCTGCGAAGTAATGCTAACACCTAGCGGAGTAATCCTAGCACTCTGATAGCAACCTCAAAATACAGACGTGATTGATGTTCGAGAGAGGAAAGATATTACAGTAAGGCTTCTGAATAACTAAATGTTTTCACGCTGTTTTTTTTTTTTTAATTTGTGTTGTGTTATTTATGTCAATACCGGCGGCCACTTCCAATATTAAGCGCAATTTATTTGATCGGAAACATAAAGCACCACCAAAAAAAGAAAGGAATAAAAAGATAAAAGAAGGTTGAAGCGATACCCATAGTATAGTAAGTTTACTGTACAACATTAAACAACAACAAGCCAATTGAACCAGAAGTAGCTTGCTTTATAGGCTGCTTCCAGAACTACTTTATTTTATTTTTTTTACAGAAATTATATCTCTATATTGCGCGGTGTCCCACTACGGCAGGTCAGGTTAAACAACGCCTATTTTTGTTTTCCAGCGAACCAAACACAAAGACAAAAGCGAAGGCATGACGCTAATCGCTCGAGCGGCGCAGTGGCTCCCCCACGCGACAGCAGCGGGCAGAAACTGGCGGAAACTTCGCAAGCAATGATCCCGCCGAGGCAATTAATTTGCTGGGGTTAATTATTTAAGTGGGTTAACGAGCCTCCGTGTTCATCCCGCAGGAGACCAACGCACTCTGTCTTCGTGCGCGCTCGTTCCTACGTCGAAGCGCAAGAAACATAATGGGGACAAACAAACAGATAAACGATAACAAGGGACACCAAAAGACGCGTGTATTAATGACCCCCCGGAGAATTAATGAAGTTGGCGAGCTTGCCGTTGGGTGAGCGACAGCGCTCAGAAGGGGGCGCTTCCGTGACGGACGCAGACAACGTTAGCCGAGCACTCGGGAACAGATGAACGTTAACCGAACGCCCCGAGGAAATCTGCCTAAGACCGCCTTCGTTGCATCTAGGGATATTAAACCAACAAACACATACATACAACAACTTAAACGACATGATAGGGTAATCTGTATCGTAACGGTTACGCAGGACGCTGCTCTAGTAAATAATAAGACTGCCTTTTTGCTCTTGGAAGCAGGGGTCTTAGAGGGTGAGCGATGGCTGGAGGCTCGCGGTGTTGTCTTTAGCCGGGAGCACGTAGCAAAGGGGTCTTTTGGCCTTTACTCCGAGAAGGGATCTTGGCGAAGGGAGCAAGATACTTAGTCCCGTAAGTGGTCGTTTGGCGAAGTCAGGACGTAAAACATAGCTTCTGTAGAAAACAAAATGACCGTCGCTTGCTGCGTGGCTCTTGAAATTGGGGATAAACGAAATTAAGGAGACGCGTTTGGCAATGAACCAAGGTTTTCATATTTTAAATGTGATACCATTCTTTAGCTACTTCACTCGGCTTTCGCGATGTGTCTTCTGGCCTCGAATGCACCGTGCGCATGCGCCGCGAATACGCAGGGGCTGTTCGTATGCGGAGAGGCAGTATGGACCCCTTCACATTGGCACCCTCATTGAAGGAGCTGACGTCGTTGACTTCGTCCTCGACGACGTTCTAGGGGTTCTCGTAGAGGTCGTTCTAGAGGTCGTCCTAGACATCGCCTTTGACATCGTTCTCTAGGACGTCGTCTTTGACGTCGTGCTATAAAGTAGATAAACCTGCGCCATGCATAAACGGAGCGGCAGTGCGCACACATTCAGCACATCCACATTTGCGCCCAAGCTACGACGCAATCACTCATGGTTCCGTTGAACTTAGATAGACCCACGCCGCGCTTCTAGGGAGCGACGGTACGCACACATTCACATTTGCACCCAAGCTACTAAGCAATTCTCTGAGTTGAGCTAGTTTGTATATGGTCAGTGATGGTGGGAAAACAGCATGAACATTAATCGATTACACAGAGACGAAGCAATCACTCTATTTCGAAGTGGTGCGCTGCAGTCAGGCTGACATCAATGATTGCGCCGTGAACCATACGTAAAATAAAGTGTTTACTCGAAATTTGCATCGTCGTATTCACAGTGAGCTGTGTCGTGAGACTCGTGACGAAGGTTAATGCAATTCACAGAGAACTAACAGTTGTAATTTCTGCAGCGAATGTTTCTTTTTTTTTTTCGCCAGGCTATTCTACAAGTTATAACTTGACCCAGACAATGCGTACTTGGAGTAGTATTAAGTATCGCGTTCGTGTGCAGGCTGAGCCAAGAAAGGCAACTGACAGCCATTAGAGAATAGGAATTAAAATGTAGAGAAACCCTACTCAAGGTAAGCATTGTAGGGTAGAGATTTTATGGGTTCCATGTCTTACTTCACTTTTGTCTCTCAAGTTTCGCAAACCAGCAAAACGTTGCACCACGTCGCGTATTTCAACATCTAGTAGAGAAGACTTGTAGAGCTGTTCACAAGGAGAAACACAGAAAGGCTATAAAGTTGAACATATGTTAAATATGAGAACATTGATATCTTGTGCTGATGTAGTATAGTGACGGTGCGGCTTCAACGCTTCTTTTTTTTTCTTATTATCTTGTTTATATGCAAAGGAAAATTAAATCCTGACAAAGTTGCCCACCTGCATGCCATAAACAGTACCTGGTTAATAGAAAAAATACTTAAACCTTTTATCGTAAACGTTTGCATATTGAATGAAAATACAGAGGATATTAATATCATGTTCGTGATTGTATCCACGCCCGTGTTGTCACGTTTAATGTTTTGAGATCTGTGAGTCACTTGTTGTCGATCGCTGTAGAGAAATTATATTTGCTAAAACGTCTACCAGCATATGCCATGTGCTTACAATCGATGCCCCAACCAATTTGTCAAGCAAGCAATGAGGTGCTTGTTTTTCTCTTTTGGAGACAACTGTGTTCTTTCATTTACTGCATATTGAGAATAAATTAGGTTTCTTTTTTTTTTTTTATTCTAATCTAAACGTAGTCGAAATTTCTCAGGAAATCACAACCTCTCTTTCGAAAAGCCATTTAGCTGCCTGGATAATGCTTAGCCGCCGGTTTTTATGCCCACCCGTGCTTTGATTCCTGTAAAACATACTAATGGCCTTTTCGTCTGGGAACACCACACTTGTCCAGTGCAGTTAACTCTTTCCAGTTTAGTACACGGAAGGCTGACAGGGAAAGAAGGAAGCTCCCCTCTCCCCTCTAGCCTTCTCTGCACCACGAACCGCACTGCACCGGTGCGATGCGGGCCCAGACGAATTGGCCATAAGAAGTGTATTGAAGTCGTTCGCTTGATTAATATCTGCGTAATATTGATTTTTACAAGAGAAATAATTTCCTACACGATATTTCGATGTTGAAACACATAAAAAAGAATCGAAATTGACAAAATGATCGTCCTCAATAAATTCTTTTTTTTTCTTCATTTTTTGTTGTTTTTTTCTCAGCGCCTGTTGCGCCGGACAAGGCGTCCTTCCTCGTGATCAACTCCACGTTCGTGCTCCTGCACCTGGGGGCGTGGTACAGCGGCGGCTGCCGCATCAGCTTCTTCGTGGCCCAGTACAAGCCCCGGGGCGAGTCCGAGTGGACGCTCATCTCGAACCACGTACAGCCGCAGACAGAAGCCCTGCTCGTTCCTCAGCTGGCGCCCGGAACCTGGTACAACCTGCTCATGACGGCACACAACGACGCCGGGTCCACGGACGCCGAGTTCGTGTTCGCCACTTACACCGAGACAGGAGGTACGAAGCGCTCTTCGTTATGGGCGAGTACGGCAAAAATCAACGACACCTAGCGGTTAGTACGGAAGGCTGTGACGGCAGGTTCGCTCGCCAGCGTTCTCGAACGAATCAGACGATTTCTGCGCCTGGCGCCGTCGAAAGGCGAAATAGTGAAAGCGGGTTCAAAAACACGCGGGCCAAATCGCACATACGCGGCTTGCACTGACATCACACCAGCCGCCATTTTGTTGTCCTCGTTGCTGAGCGCGTGCCTTCTGCGGCGCACGTAGGAATGACAGCCAGCACGGCAGGATGACGTTACGTAGAAGCCATGCGTGCTTCGTTCACGTCTTAGATGAGACTGCAGCCATGGCGACGAACGCGGAAGCACGAAGCTTGGACTTTTAAACGTTGTTCCGGTGTGCTCGCGCTAGAAAGGCACACTTCAAAGCGAGCTGTGCGGGCTAGCTAATGTCTGTAGCCGTGTCTACAGTCTCAGCTCAAGGGTGAACGGAAGCATTCGCCTGAAAGGAGATTGGTTGCGTGAATGATCAAAGAGGGTGCTAGTTTGGAGGTTTTGGTGCAGAAATGTGCAAGTACCCATTAAAGAAATTAAAATAGATTAATCCTAACTGATTACCAGTGCTCATCGGTATTCAGTTGAATTTTAAGGGTACTTAACAAGCGACCCTGCGTTTTCAGTCTGCGCGGTGGCAGAGGGACGACCAGTACGGATTGTCCTTCTTAAATGTAAACACAAACTGAGCATTCGTGAATTCTGTTTCCTTTCCTTCCTCTCTCTAAACGTTTCATCTTTGATCTCCTTTTAGTCATTGATTTATTGCTTTAGATTAGAAAATTTTAGGCAGATAACCCCCTCCCTTTTTCAGGAACTTTTCAGCTATACTTCGTTTCAGCTTCGGTCCAGACGCAGCCAAAGCTACAAGCGCGAGCTCCGGGCTTTCAGCATCCCTGCCAAGCACGCGCGCTCGTGCAGTACAAGCACTGTTCTGGGCCACATGCTCGCGCTTGTAGCATCGGCTGCGTCTGAACCGAAGCTGAAACGAAGTATAAAACTCGCGATCCCATATTTCTGTGTCTGCGGTTTTCACACCCTTTATTATTTCTCAGTTTATCAATTAGTCCGGGGTATGAAACTTTAATTTCGCATACTAATCTTATTTTAGACCGCAGCCTTATAGACAAATATACTGGCAAGTACGCAAGAGAAGCATGTAGAATTATTTCAGTTATTATTGTTCGTGATAGTACGTCAGTGAGCTGCAAAATATGTTAGGGAGCACTTACAAATTTCTATAATTTTGTTACATTTGGAGAAGTCTGTTCTAAATTTAAGTTCTCTGTTCTGATATTCGAGCTATGGCAGCCAGTTTGATCGTTGTCACGACCTCGCGCTTCTCGTTGTGTCGTTCCCAGGCACGGTGCCGCCGATGGTGTCGGTGAACAGCGAAGACCGTCGCTTCTACCGACACCTGGGGATCGTGGTGCCCGTCGCCTGTTCTCTCGTCATTGTCCTGATGGTGGCCCTGGTGGTCTGCCTGCTCTACAGCAGGACCTGCTGCCGTGGACGGTCCAGGGTCATCTACGAAACCGCCGGTACGCCCTCCTACTCTTCAAATCAACTTCGCCTACAGGCCTGTAGGTATCAAGTATTTATCCAGCGCCTCAGGCGAACAAAATCTAATATTGATCGGTCGTATTTTAATTGTACGTGATTACCCTTTTTCACGTTGCTCGCGGATGTTGAGCTTGTTAAAATATTATTGATGGATTTGTGAAAGAACATAATAAGACATTAAGAAAAGAAAAGAAAAAACTACACGAAAACGCGCACGTTGCATTTCTTTTTCTTTTTTACAGCGGTAGCTGTTAGCGCCCTTTTCCGTCAAGAAATTCTCGCGTACGAACGCAAGACCCCACTCTACAGCAGAGGCACTGCTCTCCCTCTCTCGTTGTTCTTCACACACGGCAAGACTGAATCTCGCTGCCCCCTCCCCTTTTCCGCGTAGCGTGCCGCTATTCTTGCGAGAGCCTTGCTCCTCAGACTTTCCTGCTTCTGAAATCTATATTGAAAATATGTTATAACTTTGCGTTTAGTAAAAAATACAGTCTAACCTACTATTTATCCAAATGTTTTTGAAAATGAAGGCCGAACTGAAATGGGTACATTCTTATCAATATTTTTTCGTCCCTTCCTACCAATTGTAGCAACTTTCAGTTTGCTAGAAAAATTTATCTGCGATATTTTTTATTAACTATGTTGGAGAGGATGGGACTTGTTATAATGACAGGCTTTTAATTGGGTGAGACTTGATATCATCATCGCCGACTGCAGCATCATTTTTTAATTCGTTTATAGTTTCGTAAACTCCTGGTGAAACAGGGACCAGCATTATCGAGTTTAAAAGGTTTCGTATTGTCCCGTTTTGGTCAGTTTGGCCTCTCTGTTCTTACGGATACTGGCCTACATTTATAAAGTTGTCATTCATCTTGTCTGCGGCTTGTTTCCCTAGTAATACCTTATCATCTGATATACTTTCTTTTAAAGTGCTGCTTTTTTTCTGCTTGATAATTCATTTATCATGCCTCACAGCTTTCGCTGATCGCTATAAATACCGGCAACGTCTTATTGATAATAAATACGTTTTCCTCTTTTTTATATCAGAGCTTAGTTAGTTTTTTTTTTTTTTAATTCTCGTAGTACATTAGTATTTCGATTCTGGATAAATGCGAAATACGTTCAATTTTTACAATTGAAAACGAGCGTGTTGGTTAATAGATACAAAACTTGAAAGTATAAAAACAGAGAGGACGAGGACGAGAACAGGACATCTTTCATTTAGCAACAACATAGAATGGCACAACGATAAAAAACCGCCCCCCAAGGGTCTCAGCGTTCTCAAAGAGGGAAAGGAGATACTAGTTATGAAGGAAAGGGAATACACTAAAAGAAAAGTTTGAAAAGCGCATCAGTAATCAAGTTCAATTTTTGTTTCTTATTCTCGTATTCAATTTTGCCGTGACCCCCGGTTTCCTCTGAATCTTCCTTCTACATTGAATGCATAAAAATACCTAATCAGAGTACGTTTTAAATATAAAAAAGGTATATCCGCACTTTCCTGTGAGCACAGAACATTCCAATCTGCATTTTCGATAAGTCTTCCAAATTTGTTCAAGTTCCAGTATCTATTGCTTGATAAAAAACGTTTGTATTTTAATGCGTCAGCATTAGTGCCCTGGTGCACGCGCGGAACTTGGACTTGTTGGGAACACACGTATATAAAGTTCGTAACGCCGCCACGGGAGGGCGCCACGGGATGGCACCACAGCCCCTATGCCCGTGGAAACTGGGTAGGAAACACTTTCTGCAATCGCGAACAGATGGCGGCGGGGTGCATTTTTCGAGAAGCTTGGTGATAAAACACATAGCAACGGAGGCCGCATTAGATTGGCTGGTTATAGGGAGCGAAGCCGTGATGTAGCACCTAGCAACCGAAGATCAACGGCGAATCGGCGATGTCACCCTTCGCCAATTTCGGCACCGCGCAGTGGGGTACGGGGAATGTATCACTGGGCGGCGTGTTAAACCCCCCCCCCCCCTTCCCATGCGGATGCCTCAATGCCAAATATTAACCCACCTTGGGCTACCCGTGCACGCCGCCTCGCGGCGCCCCTCCCCCCCCCCCCCCCCCCCGCCCCCGGCGGCCCAAGAACGCCCTTGCCCCCCACTGTCCCCCACTGCACCTCGGTCGCCAGCCAATGTGCGGTCGCCGTCCTTCATGCACCAACTAAGCGACCTGATCTGCTTGCACCAGGGAGAAGTGGGGCTTCGGGAATGTTCACACCGGGGAAAAGTGCCGAGAGGCTGCAGTCACCGTGCTTTGTTATATATAGGATGACACTAGTCACCAGGCTCGATCTAAAATGGACCGTAAAAGTCGACGCCTGCCCGTAGCAGCCTAAACTTTTCGTCAAAGGTGTAATTCACAGGTCGGCTTTTTTTTTTTATAAAATTAAAAAAAAACGTAGCTCTCTTTGTGTAAAAAGTAGGGCCAAGAAACTTTCCAAGATCTACGGCCGGGCAGTGACACACACGACCAAGTAGAGGAGCGGTGTATGTTTGGCGTTCGTATTGATAGATGGCGCTACCTCATTATCGCGACGGCTCGCGACCACCGTGGTTTATTAAAATGAAAATCTTTTTTGAAATCTACCTTTTGTTAAACAATGAATGCGAGCAATAAAAGCAAAACTTAAAAAAAAAAAACGCGACTGCATAACGACGGCGTTTTTGCTGCCAAGAGATTTCGTCTGCGTGTCGTCTGCTTTCTTTCGCTGGTCGTCTACACCTTCGGACGGCTCTGTTCGGACACTGCTCCCGACGGCATCTATCAATACAAACGCCAAACATACCCCGCTACTCGAGTTAGTCGTCTGCGTCACCGCATGCCGTAGACCCTGGCAAGTGTTTTGGCCCTATTGTTTACAGAAAGAGAGCTGAGCATTGTAATTTTATAAGAAGAACCCGACCTGTGAAATACAGCTCTGACGAAAAGTTTAGATTGCTAAGTGCAGGAGTCAATTTTTACGGCCCATTTTAGATCGATCCTGGTGACTTGGGTCACCCTATATATAGCCGCTACGCAAAATGCTGACGCAATTTTTCGAGCATCAGCGTGGTGGCAGCAGTGATCTCGGCCCATTTTTTAGCTTTGTTTTTTGAAGTGAGTTTAAACAAAAAATTGGCAGATGATCACTAAGCCCTAAAAAAATGAGACATTTACAAATTTCTGTAACGCAAAACTAGAGGGCAGCTCTTGAGGAGGAAAAGGGAAGGGTACGGAGGGGAGTTATGCGCCTCCTCCTCCTCTCCCCTCCTTCTCCTCTCTTTCCTCATCCTCCTCCTTTTATCCTCCCGTTAAATTTAGTGGGAAAACTTGCCCGCTAAATTTAGTGGGTTACGTTGCCCCGCTAAATTTAGCGGGGAAATTTACGTCACGTGACTTCAACACTATTTCAGTTTCCCAGCTAAATTTAGTGGGAAAAATGACATCACATGACTTTCTGTCACGTCACCCATGAACAAATTCAGTTTCTCCGCTAGATTTAGCAGGAAAATTGACGTCAAGTGGCCTCAACCCCGATTCAATTTCCCGCTAAATTTATCGAGGCGGTTCCACCGACGGCGACGGCGACGGCGACGTCGTGAAACGCGGAACAGGGCGCCTGAGAGCTGCGCTCTAAGCAAAAAGCCGGTACAGCACCATTTGCTTCTTTGATAGGCAGATGTCAAGCGCGGTCGCTGTTTCAGCGGTTATCCTAGTGTAGGGTAATCAAGTTGCTGCAGGCGTATTAACTTAAAAAGGTTGTTGAATTTCATTGTGTTCGGATCTTGTGAGCTAGGGTTTATGTTAATAACTCAGAGTGTCATAAATTTAACCTTTCTTGAACCTAGTAAAGGAAGTACCTTGTCTACAAATTCCTGAAAGGCTAAGATACTGTCCGACGGCGGCCGGTAAACTGGTGTGCCCTCCGCGCCTCTGCAGAAGATCTCGCGTACGTACTTATGCTTCTCGCTCCTTCTATTTGCTGCAGGCACAGTCATGGACGCCTCCGTCCTGAAAAAGCGTTTTAGCCATAAGAAAGTCACGTCTCTGTATTTTTCTGAATCACATGCGACATCTCGCACAATCGTTCCACCAAAGCACACATCCCCTCATACAGATCTCCTACATCAATTCATTCCGCAACCTAGCAGCTAACGCTGTCAATCTCAGTACACTTCGTGTGGTCGTTGGCAGTTTGTTCTTTTAAGCTTCGTTTTCTGTTCTTTGGACGCACTTTTGCCTCGCGTAGACAGATGCTGACACACGCTCGTAATATCCGATTGATCCGACGGACCGAATCGCGATTCTCGTCCGGGGACCGTGTACCACGTGACGGGCACGTCATCGATTCCCGCGATCTGCGTCTCGTCCGCGGACGGGCGGACTGACAAAGTCGAGTGCATTTTCCACTAGCGGATTTTTGGCGGAAGATTAACTTCAAAAGCGTTTGGTGTGTTTAGCGTCCTCTGCTGCCCATACATCAAAAGATCGCGACATGCTGTTGCATGTCGCGATCCTGGCGGTTGGTCGTAGAAATGTTAACGAGAACGCTGCGAGTAGCACAACCGAACGCGAGTGGCGCTGTCGTCATGGCGTCCCAACTTCTGGCTGATGTAGCTTCCGTGGACTGCCACACTGAAGAGCGACCTGCAGCAGAACAGGCATCTGCCACATACACCACAGCTGTTGGGACGCCGCCAGGATCGCGACCGGCGATAGCATGACCCTTGTTTGACGTCATGAGGCGGAAATCAAGAGACCACTTTTTTGGACGCGGTAAACACACCAGTCGGAGACCCGTTTAAGGCACCATAAGTTTGGTTTGGATGATCAAAAAAAAAAATGGCGCATCGTTGTGTTTTGTGCGTTCGCTGGTTCATTTTGTCTCCAGAGTCTTGGTTACACGCGTGAAAGAAACTGTAGAAACTTTGTCCGGCAGACGCGGCGCAGGTTCCGGTACTCCGGATCCGTGTTAAGAAACCCTCGTCAAAACTCGACTAGTGCGCCACGATAGTTCTGGCACGTACATTCAGGA